CCAAAACGCTCTTGCACCCATTCGGAGGGTGAACCTCTAAGTAGTCTGTCTAACCCCTAAAATCACAACCAAATATAAGCAAATTAATAAAATGGAAAAATGGCTTAGACTTTCAATAATTTTACTTAAACTAATTTCGTTCTCAAATTAATAAAATAGAAAAATGCTCTTATTCGCTAGCTAATGGCAGAGCTGGCCATGGACGTTTATATTCTAGTTGCAAAACTGTTTGGATTAGCTGTTTTTGGAGGTGTTTTTGAAAAATTTTACTGTAACAGAGTTTTAGAGTATATTTTGGGATATTTTTAGAAAATATTTTGAAATATTTAAGAGTAGTAGAGTTTTTAAAATATATTTTGGGATATTTTTTAAATATTAAAAAAATTTAGACTACTTTTTAGAGTACCTTTCAAAATACTTTTTAAAATTTTTTATAGTTTTTGAAAAATTAGTTTTTGAAAAAACTGAAGGATCCAAACAGAGCCATACATCTCACTCAGTAATTTCAAAGTTAAAGTATATAAAGCATTTAATCAAACATGAGATAGTCATAAAGAAATATGGCCATTTTTTTTGTCAAATTATAATGTTATCGAATGCAAATTATTTCCAATCAAAGTAATTTTGCCTCAATTACATTTGTTACAGCCAAATTAACAAATAAATTTAACTAACATCACAACAAAACATCCAAATATCAAGTTTATTCAGTCCAAGTAAAAATGCTTTCAAACAATTTGAAGGGAGAAAGGAGAAGGAGAGTATGTCGAAGGGAAGCTCTTGATTGTGTAAGATTGTTGAATAAGCAGTTAACATAAATTTCGTAAGTATGAAGAAGACGCAATCTAATAATTGAAGAAAAAAATGAAGTATGATTTAGACTATGATTGAAGAAAATTGGGATTGTGACATTGAATAAGTAAACGCAATAGAAAAAACTTCATTGAAGAACGTGTCCTTGTTTAATAGAAAAACTTTTATTTTGTTTTAAGAATAATCCTAGCTTGTAATTCCTCTTTTGCCCCTAACTTAGTGGTCATTTTTGTGCCGGAAACAAACTAATTGGTAGCGCCACCGTGAAAGGATATAAATGGCCACTAAATTTAAATTAAGAGACTAAAAAATCCAAAGTAAAAGATTTGAGGACTGAAATTGACTTAAACAAAAATGTCGAATAACTGAATTAGGCATTTTCTCTTCAGCAAACAAAAATAAAGTAAAAGTGCAAATTACTAGAAACTAGTAGAAACTGACGTGCATTGTTTTGCCGGTGCTGGAGGAGACTCAGACTTTCTGATAGCTTCAAATAGATTAGATTATGTCGCCTCCAGCTGGCGGCTTGACAAGTTGTACAGAAGACCAGCACCGGCAGAGCCGACCTCCACATTAGGTATCGAGTTTGAGAAAAAATGACTTTGCAGTGTGTTTAAAGGTAGGATTCATTGTTTTGATTGTGGAAATTGTCTCTTAGTTGTGTGTTGTATATAGTTTTATATTGTGTGATGAAAAAATTCTCTGATTCTGTTGTGGAGATGAAAACAGAGACTATATATAGGGACACAATTGAAGTGGAATTAAAACGGTGGAATTGAGATAAAAAATGGCTAGATGGGAAAGGGTGAGGTCGGGAGCCAACCTACGACGTTGTTCTAATAAGTATATTTTATTTTATTTTGACGTTTTCACCTTCAGAGATTTTTTACGTGTTTTGGATTGATTCACCAATGATGGAGGAGATATGTTCGAGTAGATTAGTTTGCACTCCCTCTAGTAGCTTGGTAGATATGTTGTACAAAAATCTAGTACCGGCAAAACCTAACAGCAGGTTATGTGCTTCGATTTTGAGCAAAAGTGTTTTTGTAGCATGCTTAAATTTTGGTTTCATTGTTTTCTCTATTCAATGGAATTTATATTTTGGAAATTCTCTAGTTTTGTTTTAGCTGATGAAAAAAATTTGTCTAGTTCTATTGTGTAGATGTAAAAATATGGAGCATTTATAACAAATGAAAAAAGAGAGAATAATTTTTTCCCTTCTCTTTTTTTAAAAAAATTATCAAAAATTTCGCCTCTTTTATCAATTTCGTTTGTTTCTATTTTTCTTGATCTTAGCAATAGATGAGTTACTATTCTTATTGTTTTTATCTACAAATCCGATACCTTCTGAAATTAGGTTGGTAAGTTTTTTGAACTGAATTTTTTAACAACTATTTTTATATGAATTTTTCATCATCTTAATCTAACAAGGATGAGGTGACTAATAATATTAATAGATATTTTAATAAGATTGCAAACCAAATATTTTGAGAAAATATCTTTCAGGTTGAGAGGTGAAATTTCTTACTTAATTTTTGTGATATAGTATGAGGAGTAATAAGCTTTAACAAAAGATTGTAATAAGTCTTTGGATGGAATATCAAAGGAAAAAAGAAAGTATTGAAACAAAATATGAAGATAAGATGCAAAAAAAATCATATATCTAAAACCAGATATCAGGATAAGAGATGATGTTAAGTACATGAAACAATATGGTAAAGTAATTTTTGCCAGGAAGTATACTATACACCAAGTTTCAATCAAATTTCTATTATATAAGATATTCAATGATCATGGGTTGTGATTTTTGTACGATAAGAATAAAAATGACATTTCTCCAATTGAAACAAAAATAAATGATTGAAATGAATTTTTGCATTGTGGCTGTCCAATAGCTATAGCTCTTTAGATTGAAGTTTTGTTCATTTTGTCCTATTTTGTGAAAATTATTTTCCAAATAATAATAATAATAATATAATAAACATACCAGTTTTCTCATCCTATAGTCATCTCGCAACACCAACCCTCCATCCATCATAGCCCATGGCATTGCCTCGAAATGATTCATAAATGATCGAGTTTTACTCCCATCTTCAGCTTCTAAGATACTTGATCCATATTTAGACCCAAGGTCTACAAGGTACTGAGTCGACAACACAAGACGCTCACCAAAGTGAATTTACCAAAGTGAATTTACCAAAAATAGTAGCAAAATAACATGGATTGATTTACCAATGATGGAGGAGATATGTTCTAGTAGATTAGTTTCCACTTCCTCTAGTAGCTTGGTAGACATGTTGTACAAAAATCTAGTACCGGCAAAACCTAACAACAGGTTATGTGCTTCGATTTTGAGCAAAAGTGTTTTTGTAGCATGCTTAAATTTTGGTTTCATTGTTTTCTCTATTCAATGGAATTTAGATTTTGGAAATTCTCTAGTTTTGTTTTAACTGATGCAAAAAAATTTGTCTAGTTCTATTGTGTACATGTAAAAAGATAGAGCATTTATAACAAATGAAAAAAGAGAGAGTAATTTTTTCCCTTCTTTTTTTTTAAAAAAATTTTTCAAGAATTTCGCCTATTTTATCAATTTGGTCTGTTTCTATTTTTCTTGATCTCAACAATAGATGAGATACTATTCTTATTGTTTTTATCTACAAATTTGATACCTTCTAAAATTAGGTTGGTAAGTTTTTTGAACTGAATCTTTTAACAACTATTTTTATATGAATTTTTCACCATCTTAGTCTAAAAAGGATGAGGTGACTAATAATATTAATAGATATTTTAATAAGATTGCAAACCAAATATTTTGAGAAAATATCTTTCAAGTTGAGAGGTGAAATGTTAAAAGAAAAGATAGCAAATGTCAAACTTCCTCCTACAAAGAAAATATAATGATTCTAGTTAGTTGATTTGTTAGAAACTTGTCATTTTTATATTAAAAAGACGACACAAATGTCGTAAATTGATCACCCACTTTCTCATATGTTTATGACATTTGTGTATATCAAGAAGCATCACTTAAGTTCCTTCAATTGATAGAAAATGAAAAAAAAAATGTTTCAAAAACTTTCTAACTTCCAATAGACCCTTAAGATTATGACAAAAACGTTCAAAAACTTTCTAGTTTCTCTGTTATGACAATGTTTATTTCTATTTTATTTTACGAACTATCTCAACAATTTCCCACTTATTTTGTGAACGAAATAAACAAACTAGCACATAAAAACAATCCTTAAAGAAAAGAATAGTTAGATTTAAACTTTTCTTTTAGTGTAAGTACATCACCAAATCTAACCAAATTAAAGTTGCATATAGCATTAAACTATAATTTAAAAATTAGGTTAGATATATTACGCACATCCAACTTTAGCAGCCATATGCTCCATCCTAGAGTCATGATCATAAACAAAAGCAAATCCAACTTTTGTTAGAAGTGGCATGACTTCGAGAATCATAAAGTGAAGATACTTTCAAAATTTACAGCATTAAACATTATGTAAATATTTACACTTCATTAAGAGTATAATTTCAGTGTATACTCATCCTCTTATAACGATAGGTATTAGTGAGTCAAGAATGTATATAATATTACTTAGTGCTCACAACCACCTAGCAATTTGTTATTATCTCTTAAACCTTTTCGACTAGCGGTAGTGCAATTTGTTATTACCTCGTTCGCGAACATGTGCTCGATTGTCATTTCACAAAATTTGGGATTAAATAGTAAGTTTAGTATTGAGCCTGAATTCAAACTTGTCGAGGCTATACAAAATTGGTTCATCTATGTTAAACGATCGAACTTAAATTAAAATTTTAATTAACTAGCTGAATACGTACATGAACAGAGATTCTGAATCGAAAATTTTCAAACGAACACGAGTCTGATTCAAATAACTTAACGAATAAGATTCAAACATGATATACTCAGTTTGTCCACAGCTCTAGAGTCTAGACTACTCTTGTGATACTCTAGGAACACTCGGCTTCAAATCCGTCGAGGTAATTAACCCATTATGTCTGTATTATATGGTCGGTGTTAAAACATTAAATAGCTGTTTAACGTGCACTGGATGGATTCCTTCTAGATTTTGAACATCGTGAAGGTAAAGGGCCAACTTAGCCCGGTTTGATACTGGGTCGGTCCAAGGTTGTGGGTCCGTTTTAGACTATATAAAGCACTACCTACGCGACGTCGTTCCTATCTGGGTTATTTTGACAACCTAGTCAAATTGGTTTTCCAACCTATTTGCACTTTTTTTTTTTTAAAATTCTGTCCCAGCTGATTGTTTTCTGCTTTTCTGTCGATAATTTTGGTCCTTTTCTTGATTCTGCGTTTGACGCAATTTAGGTTTTGGAGCTATTTTTACCGTCTCCTCTGAAAGTTTGAGCCCTTGAGTTCGTTGAATCGGGTAGGATTTTGCGATTTGTTTGAATTTGTTGATAATAAATTGTTTAGTAACCGTTGTTAGGTAAAATTTGCAGCATGTTAGTTTGACGAGGATGAATCAAGGAGGGACTACTGATACTCTAACAACACTGGGCACCAATTCCGTCGAGGTAACTAACCAAATCTTTTGTATTTTATGGTTGAATAATATAAACCATTTTATGTTGAAGATGTTGCTCGGTGTTATCAGGTAGAAGGTAAAATTGTAAAAAGAGCTGCTTAATGAGCATTAGGATGGGTTGTTTCTAAAGGTTGAACATTGGATTAGGCAGGATTTAGCTGCTTTTGTTTGAGATATGAACTTCTCGTTGCTAGCTTGAGTTAGGAAACAAGAAATTAGGTACTAATTTGTGCACTATCTGGTTCTAGCAAGCTTATGGAATGGTTTTGGGGTTTATTGAGTGGCATTGGACGTGATTCTCGTCAGTTTCATTTGAGTAAAAATGGCGAACGTTGATGCGAGTTTTAAGAATACACCCTCAAAGTTTTTTGTTTGTGCTGGGGTTGGGGAACTAAGATTCCATAAATTATCCAGTTGGATTTTTCTGCAAAATCCAGGATTTATGTTCTAATATGTATGAAAACCTGGCTTGCTGGCATCGTTACTCAGTACTATGTCATCACTTGTATTGCTGGCAGTAAGTTTGAGTGAGAAAGCACCCTTTCTCTTTCATTTCTGCTTTCTCTGGTCATTGTTCTATAGCGTTTCTTTTTTTTTTTGAGTAAACTAAATGGAAGCTGCTAATTTTTCTTCTTAGCTAGTTGCATAAGGATTGCAAACCCTAAAACATACTCATAAGCATAGTGTCCATCATTACGAGTTTGTGATAGATGTGTTTGTTGTGTTAACATGAGATTCGAAGTGGATTGGCGTGGGCTAAAAGTTCTTGTCTTATTCTGTATGTGCAGAGGATTTTCTTTGTGCTTTGTGCTGCCTTGTTCTTCACTAGTTAGTTGCTGTTTCTCATTGTTGTTTAAATTGATTGAACCAGTTCTTTTAATTGTCATAACGATCACCTGTACAAAGGCCTATTTTGGTTGAGTTAAGTGCGAACCAGATAATGATATGGAGAGAAAAATTTTATGTTAATTTGTTGTAGAGCTTTTTAGTGTGACAATTGAGAGAAATAAATGGGTTCTAGATGTTTGTGAAGCCCATTGTTTTATATTTGAGAATTTGGAAGAATTGGACTGAAAGGCAGAGCCCTTACTTGAAACCATCTACAATAACAAAATGGGCCATTAAACAGTTTCTAAGTTGAAACTAGAGGATGAAATTGTGAAAGTTGCACAGTTGTGATCTTCTCTAACACAACTTTCGAATATGATATATTCTCTCGTTAAAATTTCTCTAACTTCATGATGGAAGTGTTTCTCACCCTGTATATCTCTAAGAAAACAATGCAGATTTGAACTCATGGTTTGTTGACTCCTGCTATGCATAATTTATGATCTTTAGGCTCTCAAAATCTAAAGTTAAATGTTACACTGTAGTTTTAGATCTTCCACAGTAGAATTATCTTTCTAAGTTCCATTCAGGATTTACATTTGTAAAAAATAAACCATAGTACATATTTAATTCAGTGAGACTATTATTCACAGGCTTCAGCCTTTGTTGAATGGGAAAGTGTCTATATTTTATTACTATTCGTATGGTTGTTACTACTGTAGTATATGAAACATATTACATTATAATCTTCTTTGGGAAGTTGATGTGGATTACCTCTATATTTATATCTAAGATTTTCTTGGTGGCTTCTGGGTTTCTTGTTTTGTATCCTTTTTGTTTTGTTTTCTTGCTTTCTTCCTCTACCTGTTATGTGTCATGTTGTAAATGCAGATTATATTTGTAATTGATGCACTTTTATCAAAAGAAAACTGGGAAAAAGAATTTTTTGAAAATGTGTTTCTTGTATCTAAAAACAAATTTATCCTTGTTTTCCAGAAGTATCCAGTCATTGATCCAAGTCAAGCACATGCATCCTCTTACTATGCCTCAACTAGCTCTGCACCAATATCATGGACCACCCATGGGGCAAATAATTATCCTAGGGAGAATGGAACCGTTTCTACTTCCACTTATCATCATGACCAACAAGCAGAATTAACCTCAAGGAGTGTCCAAGATGGATTAAATGGGGCACCTGTTGTATCCACTTCAACTTCTGGGGCAGTAAATGTACAACACGATTACAATAGTTATTCAACCTACCAGAATACAGATCCGTATGGATATGGAAATACAGGATATGCATCTTACTATAATAATTATCAGCAGCAAACAAGTCAACCATATCAACCTCCTGTAGGAGCATACCAAAACTCAGGTGCTCCTTATCAGCCTCTTTCCTCATTTCAGAATACTGGGTCTTATGCTGGGTCTGCAAGTTATTCAAGCACTTACTACAATCCTGCTGATTATCAGACAGCCGGAGGTTATCAGAGTGGTGTTTATAGCAACCAGACCAATTATTGGCAAGAAGGACAGTACGCAACATACTCTTCTCAATATCCCAACTACACCCCAGACTCGACTACATTGTACAGTTCCACTCCTAGTGCTGCATCTTCACAGTATGCACATCATTATAAGCAATGGGCTGACTATTACAATCAAACACAAACAGAAGTCAGCTGTGCTCCAGGGACAGAAAATGTTTCTGCTTCTGGTGCACCTAGTCTGAGTTCTGTCCCTGGTGGGTATCCAGCAGCAAATAGTCAAGCCTCTGCACCTTATATTACGTCCTGGAGGCCGGAATCTACATCTTCTGAATTACCTGCGGCACAGGTTTTTTGTCCCTCCTATTGAATGTGTTCACTGATAGTTGATATTTTTACGTTCAATGATAGAATTCACATTTAGTACAAGGTTAAGCATTTACTTTCATGTGCAACTTTCATGAATTACGGACGTTGAAGTGTGCATTTTCAGGAACTAGGTTTGGCCTATTAATCTAGGCATATTCTTTCCTGTCTAAGTTTCTACTAACAATATTCTTTAGAATTTGGTTCTGGGGTGTGGATAGAATTCACCATTCCTGGTTTAAATTTGCTGCAATCACATATCTCTGTGACAGTGCTTCGAATGTTCAGAGAATATCTGTTTCTTCTTTATGTGTGAATTTTTACTTGTTCATGTGTCCTTCATGGTTTTGGTACCTGTTTACTTGTGTCATATGTTCACTGGTGATATAATGAAGCAATGCCAGCATCATGTTTTGGTTGATTAATAACGTGATTGCTTATGCACTGCTTTTCCCTTTCCAGTCTGGTACAGTGAATGGTGGTGTTCATGATGGGCATTGGAAGCCTGCACCTGCAGTTTTTCAAAATCAAAATTTGAATTCAGTGCAACATGTTCAAATGCCTTTAGAGACAAGTTCCACATATGAAAGCTTCCAGAATCAGCAAAATCACGCACATTCTCAAGGACATAACTTAGTGTATACAGCTACGCATCAGGTTCCCCAAAGTTATCAGTCATCTTTACAAACTGTTTCACAAATTGCTCCACAGCTTGATTCGCGCAGGGCAAGCAGCAAATTGCAGATTCCTACAAATCCTAGAATTGCTTCAAATTTGGGCTTGGGTTTTCCAAAAGTAGAGAAGGATATTTCTGCAAGCACTGCAGCTTCAAAGCCTGCCTACATTAGTGTTTCACTGACAAAGCCAAATGAGAAAGTGCCATCTGAAGATGCTGCTGATTCTATACTAAAGGTACAATTTGCTTCCCTCTGGTGGTCATTTATAATTTCTCATTTCCTGTGGCATAAATACATTTCTAAACTGTACACTTGATATATGGTTTCATGTTCAATCAGATTTATATTTTACTGCTGCATTTTAGGCACTTGAAATATTGTAACTATCTAAAGATCATCCTATGAACTAGCTTTATCTGTACATAGGTTTATGTGTTTGTCTTTTTTACTTGTTTGGAATTCCACTGTTGCTTGACCTCCTTCTAAAGTTATGGAGTGGTGTTGGACTTTGAATTTCCATTTCAATTGTAGCTGATTTACTTTTTAGTTGCAAAAGGCAAAAGGTGTCCCCTTTTTGAGCAAATACCACTGGACTTATTTTACGCAAAGATGTCAGTAGGCAGTCTTGGCTTGTTTCTTCTGCTCTGCAATGTTGATGTGTACTTCTAGTTAGGCACTTGTTAATTTTGATATCATATTTCTTAGGTGGACATCTTACTAGTCCTCTTCCTCCTATATCTAGTTAGTCAAATTTTGTATTTAACCTTTTTAGATGAGTTTTGGTTCACCTTATGGTTGTAGTATTGAGGTTGCCATCGAACTTACTGAACCCATTTGTTGGGCTCTTGAACGTCTAGCATCATACGAGTTCAAATTTGACTTATTTTGTAGTTTCTATGAATGTGCATTCAGTTTCTGCATTTTGAATGCATGTTCATGTTTACAGTATCTGTGGGTGGCATTATTATATTAACTGATCTCCATGTTTTATTTTTTATTTTTAAATTGATCTCTATTTTTGTTATTTGTAGCCTGGCATGTTTCCAAAGTCACTGTGTGGTTATGTCGAAAGGGCTTTGGCTCGCTGCAATGGTGATGCACAAATGGTGGCTTCTCAAGCTGTCATGAAAGAGGTAAGCAAAGTGTACTGATGTTGCTTTTGCTGTGTCATTAGGGAAGTCCATATTTGGTAGTAGACAAACTGCAAAAAATCCTCGAGTCATCTCGAATGGATTAGGGAGCAGTGGTTTTTGATCTTTCTGTGCCAATCTTCATAGGTTCTAAATTATAGTCATCTGGTGAAGAAAGTATGTGCTTTTGTGTGAATTGTATTTCTGTTTTAATATTTTTTTGTCAGATGTGATAGATGGAGATCAACTACCAACTTCAATTTATCCTTTTCCTTCTTTTGTTTTCTTTGGTAAATGCCATAAATTGCTCTCTCTCTCTCTCGTGCGTGTGTATAAGTTTAGAGTTCATTTGCAAAGTTGACTTGTTCATATTGCACATACTGTTGGATTGCTGTTGGCGTTAGTATGTGTACTCCTGTATATGCTGGTTTCTGGTTACAGAGTTTACTTATGATGTGGGAAGACTTCTGCTTTCACCTTTTCATGGAAATCTTAGTTCTATGTCATTCACAGTTTACTACAGCTGCCAATTGTTTAAGTTTTATTTTTTGTTATGCATTTTGTTTGTTACAATGCAGTTCTTTGTTTCTACTTTTCTCTTGTGCTGTTTACTTATCTCTTATATGTTACTGCACTTGTTAGATTATCATGAAGGCAACCGCTGATGGTACTCTACATACAAGAGATTGGGATACAGAGCCTCTTTTCCCCCTGCCGAATGCAGATGCTGCTAATCAAGAGTATCTCCCTCTTCCTCTCTCTGCCCCCTTCCTCCCTTCTGCTTTCTACCTTGAGCATCCATGATAAATAAGAAGAAAACATTCAACATCTTATGATCTTGTTAATAGTGTGTCACATGCCCAACACAATTTGTTGAGATATGTAAGGCAACATACTTTTCTTTTGTAAATGCTGACATTGTTATTAATATAAGTACTCATCAACAAGAATTACCACATGTAAATCTTGATTCAGGTGTTTTGAGTGTGGAAGCTCCCAATACTTCAATTTCCTTGGTCCCAATACTTTTTTCTTTTGGCTATAAGTCGTATATGAGGAAAACTGTCTTAAATGTGATATTTTGTGAAGTTATTCCTTTGGTATTTTTGTTCTTGGCACTGGTCAATGGAACCCCCCCTTTTTCTTTATGTTAGATTTTAAAAGATGCTAAATAATTTAATGCAATTTTGATCCTTTAGCATTACAAGAATGAAAAGAGTGTAGTTGTGGAGTAAAGATTGACTTCATTTTGTCTCGTTGAATGCAGACATATACTGTTCTCACCTCCCATTTCTTCATTACCAAAAGGCAGAAGTCCTAGTAGACGATCCAAAAGTAGGTGGGAACCTATATCAGAAGAGAAAGTGGCTGACAAGCCTCCTGCTGCTGCTGCCCGTGAACCTGTAAAATATGGTTTTTGGAACAAACAGGTATCTGGTTTAATCTAATTTCAGTGGAAAACCAAGAATTTCCTTGGTAGTTTTACCATTGAATTTGATTTTCTAGCTTGTCAAGCCTTCGTTCTCTCACATAGGTGGCAAAAAACCAAGTCAAGGTGATTGAATGTGGGTTTAATGTCTCTTTTCTTATTTCAGCCGGAACATAAGTAGAATTTGTGTTTTAGAGATGAATGGGAGGGGAGGGTATTTTTTTTGGTGTGATTTTTTTAAAACTTAAATCTTGGTAGGGAGGGGAGTTTCTCACAAAAGACTACTAATTTTTCAAATACAAGTAATAGATCCAAAAAATGCTCCAAATACATCTCATACACAAACCAAACGTTATAAATAAAAAACAAAAAAAATAACTTGAAAAAATAGCCAACCTTCCTTCAACACATTTTGACATTCTTTCCCTCCACCACCATTTCCCAACCTCCCCCATCCTCTTCCTTCCACCAAATGGCAGCCACCTCCCCCACCACCATTTATCGTCTGTCACCTCTTTCTCTCTTCTTTTTTTTTTTTCCCTTAGCTCCTCCTCCTTTTTCCTCTTTTTCCTTCCCTTCTCCTCTACTCCATTCCCTTCCCTTCCTTTTCCCCTTTATTTGCGAGGAGAAGGTGGCGGTGGGGAAGAGGTGGTTTGAAAAGGGCCTAGTGGGAGGTTGACGGGAGAAAAATACTCTTTAAAATTTTTAAGAAGGCCCAAAAAAATTAAAATTTTAAAAACACTAAACAATATAAGTGTTAATATTATATATATTGATAGTGTATACACTATCATCATTTAATACATGACACATAATTTGAATTTAAATTTGAAATCTCAATTCTATATACATATCATGTATCCAACCGTAATAGCATATACGTTGTTAGTGTATAGAAGGTTAATCCAAAACATAACATACAAATACATCTACTGTAAAATTCTAAAAAAAATGTTTCAAAATACCTAATTTATACGAGTCCAAATACTTTATTAGAACTAGTGCTCAAAATTACATAATATTTATGGTCATATATTTTAAATAAAATTTTTATTACTGAAACAAACTCTAATCTTTTAAATAATTTTCATAAAATAATTTTATATTAGTAGTTATGTTGAAAACATATACTTAAATAGTTAAAAGTAAAAATAGTAATGGATAGTTATAGGTAGTTAAAATAAAAACTAGTTTTTATAAGAGCAAAAAAGTAAATTTATAATGTGACGATAAATGTTAACCCCAATATTAATCCCAAATCCCTTCCTTAAGTTTTATATATAGTATAAATAGGTTTGCAAACTCACCGAACCGCTTGCGAGCAGTTTGAGTCGAACTCGAGTTGGTCAAAATATCGAGTTCAAAATATTAAGATCGTTAGCTCGCGAGCTCGAGTATATAGATATATTTATTTTTTATTTTAATAGTAAAATTACATATATATCCCTAATATTTTATTATTTATTAAGAAAAAATATTATATTATTTATTTTTTTTAAAAAATAAAAATAATTATTTTTTATTTTTTCGAGCTCGAGCTTTAAATTGGCAGTTCGTCAAACTCGAACTCGAATTCGAGTTTGATAAAATTAAGTCGAGATTCGGTTCAATTAGTCTAAAGTTCAATTCACTCGACTTGTTTGCAACCCTAAATAGATATTATTGTAGATGGGTGATTTTTACCAAAAAAAAAAAAAAAAAATTCAAAAACTCAAGTGCCGAATAGGATATGTCAGACAACTAAAGCAAAGGGATACCATGATGTAGCCCCACATATTTTGTCCATTGCGTTCACACCAAATGGGCCAAATGTCCATGGGGAATAATTGTCAGACTTGAAGGTAGCAATCTCCACTTTGCAAGCCCAAAATCACAGGTGAAGCACAAGTGTACAGAGTCGCACGACAGCGTTTCTACTTGCCACAGCACAAATTAGAAAACGACCTTTCTTCCCGTTTTGCCCAATCTGCTCGGTCGCTTCCCCTCTACAGCAATCAGCTTCTAAATTCTGATCCAAATAATCATCCAAAAAGATCCTCTTTGCAGGAAAAATGGAGATGGAAACGGACGCGCTTCCCAACGGCAGCTCTGCATCCTCAACCACCGGTTCCACCACCTCGGCCCCCGCCACACCCACCGCCGCCATTACTGCCGGAGCCGTTTCGGCCTCGGCGCTTCCATCATCTAAGCTAACTCAACTGGCGGAGTCTCTAAAACTCGAGCACCAGTTCCTTCGTGTCCCATTCGAGCACTACAAGAAGACGATCCGTGCTAACCACCGCATCGTTGAGAAAGAAGTCTCCGCCGTCATATCCGGCGTCGCTGAAGCCGCCGACTCCGCTGAACTCTCCCGTGATGATGCTGTTCAGCAACTTAATTCACTCGTTTCTCGATTACAAGGACTCAAGCGGAAGGTAGTCCAATTAGTGGTATTTTAATTACCTTGGAAACTGCAATTACAATGATATAAGAGAACTAATTTACATTAAGTTGGAGAAATTAACCAAAAATTATGTTGGAACACAAAGGATATTTTTTTTCTAAGTTCAATTTGAAATATGTAAAATCTGAAGCTGATTATTTCTATCCTTCAATAGTTTTGTATTCTCAATTGTAGAAAGTAGTAAAAGGTCAGGAAAAATCTTTGCTGCGTTTAATCTGGAAAATGTGAGATTTGTATTTGTTTCTTTCTTTGTTGTTGACTTAGCTTCTTTTTCCGAATGCAATTATGTGGAGCTTAGTAAATAATTTCTCTTTTTGTCAGTGTCAACTGCATTAAACATATAGGATGAAAAAATAAATCACCGTTGACGAATTATTACAGAGTCTGATGTGTCAGAATTGTTGAATTTTGAATTTCTCGTGATTTAATTACATGTGGCTTCATTAATTAGTTGGAAGAAGGAAGTAGAACAGAGCACTTGCAAGCGCAGAGATGCCGAGCACGACTGGACCATTTGGAGTCTGCTGATGCAGAAAATTTATCGGAATGGAACAATATCCGTCTGAAGCGGATACTGGTTGACTACATGTTGCGCATGTCATATTATGACACTGCTATTAAGCTTGCAGGAAGCAGCAGTATTCAGGTGATTTCTGCTTGCCCTGTTTTGCAGCATGTGTTGTTGCATTTGCTGGAAAATTGTTTGCTTTAGTTTGTTCTTTGATCTGAATATTTGATCTTCAGCTTCTTGGGTGCAGCTATTTTATGACACAAAGTAGCTAATTGTGAACCACCTAATGCAAATACCAATATATCTTGTGGTTGACTCACTTTGTTGTTTCATGGCTGCATATGAGATGCATTTGGTGCAAGCATCTGTGTGTTGTGCTTTGACTTCTAAGGCTTTTGACTTATTCTCCATTTAGTTAGAAATTATCAATAAAAGTGTCTCATTTATTCTGATTTCCATATTACTTATCTTCCAATTGATCTTAGTTAGTTCTCATTCTTTCCCCTTTGGCATTAATGCACCTCTTTTGGGAGGGATCAGTTTATTATAATGTAAAGCTATTGTGTTCCCCATTGCAATTTGCTGTAGAAAGTGTTGTAAATACATTGGAAAATGATGATTAACCACGCTCCTTCTGTTAGGATTTTGTTGATATTGATGTCTTTTTCGAAGCAAAAAAAGTCATTGAAGCTCTTCAAAGCAAAGAGGTGGCTCCTGCTCTTGCCTGGTGTGCTGATAACAAGTCCAGACTGAAGAAGTCAAAGGTATCAGATGATTCCTTGTACAAACTGTTGAAAATTGAAGTTAAGCGGTTAGTTGCATTAAGTTTTGGATTGGGTTTCCTTGATTCAGTAATATCCATCGGCTTTTCTACTATTTGATGCAATTCAATCTTTCAAACTCTCTAATGTTTGCATGAAACTTCCATGATGGTTCATGGAAAGCTAATAGAATAGCAAGTAACAAAGTTCACAATTCTATAATTGTAATTCTCTTGGGAGTAATTCTTTCTTGGTACAGTGCTGAATGTTGTTTCTGGAATATTATGCAGCATGGTTAAAGCTTATAATTACTACTTTTTAACTTGCAAAAGTACGTGATATATTATAATTGGCTGTCGTAAGTTGGTTATATGCTGTAATCTCATTTATCAGAATGGAGTCTCTTTGTTAGCAAGGCTCTTTAAGAACCTGTCTGAATGCTTTCTGTTTCGTCTCCTAAACAGCATGTTGTAATCTAGTGAGTTCTCAGATTTCACGTATATAAACTTGAATGACTAAAAAGTACTGCATGCAGTGCTTCTTCTATGTGGTAGTCTGTAGACTTTGTGTTATTATTATTATTTTCCTGCTATGCATTCTTTTTTGACCTGTACAAAGGTAGTGAGAAAAATAAAATTAAAGCATCTATCTTGTGCAATTCTGCTTGATTATTCTTTACTAATGGTGGAATATGACAAATTTGTGTATAAAGACAATTTCATCTAGCTTAGAAGTATGATGATGCACTGGCATCTTTTAACATTATTTCATCACACATTGTAGACTATTGTATGAGTAATTAGTTTGCTTTTGATGGGGAGGATAGACCCCTGGTCACAAGAGGTTTTCCAGAGCATCACCTTAAATGTATGCTTGAGTATGCTCAGAAGTGTTACTTATTGGTATAGAAGGCAATAGGTTTCTGGCAGATTCTTTCGCTTAAGGTTCAGTTTTTGGTTGTGTGAGTGATCTGTTTGCTTTTGAGGTGGAAGATGGGTCTGTCACAAGCGGTTATTCGTAGCATCACTTCAAGTGTATGCTTGAGTGTAAGCAGATTGCTTGCTAGCTCATAATGTTTCAATTGTCTTAAGCATAAAAATTCATCCAGCACTAAGTACAAGAATCTTTTACTTCCAGACTTAAAGTGACATGGACTTTTATAGTATACCATACAGGCCATAATACTTGTGCAGTCAAGAAAGCTATATACACCTTCATACTGCATCATTCAGTATGCCAAGTTTCCTGTGCAACTTGAGATATATTTGCTAGGATATATTTTTAAAAGTCAATCTTGAAAGTAAAATTTCCCCTCCCCGCACAGAATTATGTTAAAAACATCCATCTATGTAGAGCTGCATATATTTCCTCACACTTCAGTCTCTAATATTCTGGACTAAATGATAATCAGACAAACTTTCAGAAGATGCCATAAAGGTCAACCTTCCACATCAAAAGCAAACAGATCAGTCACACAAGCAAACTCTGAACCTTAAGTGAAAGAATCTGTCAGAAACCTATTGCCTTTCTATACCATGAAAGTGAAACCTTATTTTGTTTTTCCAGTTTTAACGTGGAGAAGGCTAATTTTCTGGCGTCTAGTGTTGTCACTGATAGTAAAACTGATGATGATGGTTAGGTAATGCTACTTTCTCAATGCTTTATGAATTTGGTAGTTGGAGGATAAAATTTGCAGAACACTCCTTAAAAAAGAATAAAAAAGTGGACTACTCTGAAAAATGTGATGCTCTGTCAAGAGAGAGAGAGAGAGAGAGAGAGAGAGAGAGAATTTACATTGAAGTATGGTTAGCAGGTCTATGATGATGAAGTTAGATAATGCTGGAAAATTGCGATTGCAATCAACTGTTAATGAAGCTTAAGATTGTAGGCTTGTCAAGTCACGGTTATAAGGTTTCAATTAAAGAGGAAGTATTCATGCAGAATGGCTATTTTTATGTTATTAAAGAAAAGGTTTTCATTCACAAGATATTTACACTGTTTACCTCTCTTTGTGTAGCTGTGTATAATGTTGAATTCTGATTGAATTGTTACTTGATTACTGGAGTAATTTTCATGCACTAAGCTTTTTATTCTCTTCATGGCAGAGCAAATTTGAGTTTCAGTTGAGGTTACAAGAATTTATAGAGTTGGTAAGAGCTGAAAACAATATGCGAGCAATTACGTATGCGCGCAAGTATCTAGCGCCATGGGGAGCCACCCATATGAAAGAATTGCAGCGGGTCATGGCCACACTTGCTTTTAAAAGTAATACTGAATGTCCAACTTACAAGGTGAATATCTTCTCTTGTCCTCAATTTTCCTGAATTTTCCTTTTTGTTGTTTTTCTTTTCCCCTCTTTTTGAGGAAGAACTCGGAGAGGGGAAAGGACTGCAGAGGGCATAAAAACACTCTTGACCTCTGATTGCAAAAGTTGCTCCATTTGCATGTAATTGAATAGGGTCTTTGTACGAAGTGGTTTTTGCTTGCCTTCGTTCCACATGAGGGTAATTGTTTGTTTCATTTCATTTGTTATTTATTGCAATTTCCAGGTTTTATTTGAAGCAAAGCAATGGGACTACCTAGTCGACCAATTCAAGCAGGAGTTCTGCAGGTTATATGGCATGACACTAGAGCCTTTGCTGAACATATATTTGCAAGCAGGCTTGTCTGCTTTGAAAACTCCGTATCCTCGTCTGGTTTCTATAGTTATCTCCCATTCTTCTCCTGATATATAAAATTTTTAAATGCTTGAGACTGTCAGATCTAATGGTTTTGTCTTGTCAATCTTGCTTGGAGGGTCAGAAAGATAATTAACTTAGTTTAGTCTCCTTTTCCTTTTTTCCTTTGACACCATATTAATTGATTTAACTTGTAATATGGTGTTTCATGTGTGGAGTGATTTTTCGGAATCCCCACTTTTTCCTTGACCTGATTTAGATTCTGTTATGAAGATGATTGCACAAAGGAGGATCCTCTCTCACAAGAGAGCTTCCGTAAATTAGCTCTTCCACTTCCATATTCAAAGCAGCATCATTCAAAACTTGTTTGCTACATTACCAAGGAACTGATGGATACTGAGAATCCGCCACTAGTCTTGCCGAATGGATATGTGTACAGCACTAAGGTTTGCACCATACTCTATATGTTATATTTCTTTTGAGTTCTTAAAATCTTTACCCCTGTTCTTTTTGCGATGGCAGGCTCTCGAGGAAATGGCCAAGAAGAATGATGGAAGGATTACATGCCCAAGGACAGGCCTAGTCTGCAACTACACTGAGGTGATCAAAGCATATATTTCATGAGACCCATTCTAAAACTGATCGGGTCCATACAAGTGATTGGCGACCTGTTCTTCAGCCTGTAGTTTCTCTATTGAATGCTGATTGTCTGGCATCTGGTCATGTCAGGTACTGGTCTGGGTGCTTGTTTTGATGCCCCGACCTACAATTTGATACATACAAATGTACATATGCCAAGTACACCCCCCTTAGGTTTGTAATTATTAGTTAAGATCTTTATTTAAATCTTGAGGTAGTTGAGTAAAGCTTTTCACTTGATGCCGATGGTGTAGCATTGGCTAATAGAGCTCTCATCTGTAACACACTTCCATCCAAATAGCGGAACACAAACTAAACTCCATTCTGAACCTTTGCAAAAACATAAAATAGCGACTTGTTACTGTGAGTTACCTCGGCTCTAACCCTCTGGATTTTGAAGATGCTTGGATTTGCTTGATTTATGTCCATCTGGCGTCACCTTGAGCTCTTCCACGAAGCTCAAGCCATTGAATCAGGTGTCCGTTATTGACGTTATGTGTGATGTTATTCACTCTTAACAGCTAACTGCAAATTAAAGAGGTACAATTAAAGGTGGAAATTCGGTTGGCGGAATCATATAGAAACATGCATCAGTATGATGAGAGTGGTGACGAGGGAGAGGGAGGAGCGGTGAAAATGCAGTTGGTGGCGGGGATTCCTTTGTGCTTCTAATCTTGGACATGTCCTGAAGACGAAAGCAGCATGTGCAGAGGGGATCTTGCATACCCATTTCTCAGCTTCTTTAGCAACAGCGAAGAAACACCAGCGGAAATCTCTGCTACATTCAATTGTTTACTGGAGGTGAACAGCATTGAGTGATTTGCTATATTGTTTGCCGCTGCCGACAGTTGATATCAGCAATTCAAAAAACCGTACGCTTTAATGATATAGACGCTGCAAAATTTCTTCCAGAGTCCGTGGGTTTCTTTGACCAGGTAAAACTGATTTCTTGCTTCCGTCTTTCAAAAGGACAAGGCAAGTTATCACATTATAGTGCAGGAGAATCGTTAAACAGCTAGTCCCATGACCTTCGCGGGCAACAGAAAACTGGTTTATACCCAATGTAAATCACTAAACTGGAGGTTAACCCCTAATGCAAATCAATAAACTCGAGGAGGAGCAGTAACGGACGAGGGCCAAAGTCAAAGTACTGCTTAATGTTTCTATTGGACCAAATAAATATGAGCAGCAGTTCCCTGGTTCCACGAGAGGAGTAGAAATTCAGTGTATTATCAAACTGCCAACTTATTTGGCTAATTGGCTGGCGTATCAACACACAGAACAAAGTGGATTAAATCGTTCTTCAAATGTAATAGATTGTATAAAATCTCATAGAAACAGGGATAATGAGTTCCAGCACCAAATTAATACATATAGACCTCCCAAAACAGATTACACAGAAATGAAGGAGAGTTGAGATACTTCATATCTCACTCACTGCCCCTTGGTGAACCATTGGTTTCATCATTATCAGCGGGGCTTCCATTGTCCCTACGGATGGGGCTAGGACTTCGGCTATGGCCATTTTCTTCAAGAGGACTCCTATCTTTGATACCATCATCCCTTGGAGCATCATCTTTAGGGCTTCTACTATTCTCTGAGCCATTGGCTGGCCTACCATCCCTTGGTGAAGGAGTGCCCCTCTCTCGTGGGCTTCTCTCATCAGGTGTTGGGCTGTGCTTCCTCCCTTTGGATGGTGGTGGAGATGATACCCTGTGACGCTTAGGGCTCCTAGATCTTTTCTCCTCACGCTCGTTGCTACGATCCCTCCTTGGTGGAGACCTCGATCGGCTGCAAACACACGGTATATACCAAAAAAAGGGTCACATTCCAAATGCATTTTGATCCAATATGACCTGGTGCAAAAACAGCAAATTCCTACAATAAAGCACTTTAACATGAAGACAGGTTTTGAAGATAAATGCAAGGAAAATGAAGGTGCCCATCACTTATTGATAAATTTTACTTTCCCCCTTCCTTTCATGCAAGTTAAAACTCATGCAAAGCAACATTTTACCAATGGAAATGGATTCCAAATTCAGGAAACTTAGGCCTACAAAATAGCAAATCTAAGCAAAGAAAATAAATCGAGAAGCTAGTAATGAGTCAAGATGTTTAACCTGTAGCTTCTGCTCCTGCTGTAACTACGGCTTGGACTCCTGCCACGACGAGGAGGAGATGGTGATCGAGAATAACTGCGCCCGCGTCTGCGCAACCAAAACTCAGTTAAGAACATGGAAACACTGACTAATCATAAAAAGATGGGGGAAAAAAAAGAAGGAATCCCAGTATGCACTTTAGCTTTTGGGGGCTGTTTTGACAGTTCCTTTCTATATGGCCTCGTTCACCACATCGATAGCACTTGTTCTTCCAGTCCCCAGCTTTGCAATCTCGAGCCCAATGGCCATCGATTCCACAATTAAAGCAGCGCCCAGTTCCTGGAGCTGGACCTTTGCCAAGATAATCACGATCACGGGAGCCACCAGGACCACGTGGTACCTAAAGTAAAAAAGCAGAGCCCCTTTAGCCACTTTAGAACCCGCTTAAAAAAAAAAAATCAAACATGACACATCTGAATATGCTTCAGAGGCAGGAATAAATAAGCAAAACTATGATTTGTAACGTGAAAGTTTTCCTGACAAAAATAACAACAGCTCAGTTAAACATAAATAAATCAAAAGAAAAGATGCGGCCAGGGCAACATAAAACATGCAAACAATCAAAGGAAAAGTACAAGTGATCCACAATAAACAACTGAAACAGGAAGTGAGAGAAGGATCATGAATAGCGTGCAGTGAAAACCTTACCCCCTTTGCAAATTCCACAATAATACGACTTCCATCTACTTCCCGGCCATTCATGCTATATCTTGCATCATCAGCATCTCTAGGATCACTAAATTCCTGCAACCAATAGCAGATAAAAAGGGAAGAGGAGCCCATGAAAATAAAGGTTACAGGACTCCCTCTTACACTTAAATAGCAAAAGATGCTTTAAAAAAGATACTAGAAAAGCGTACCACAAAGGCATAATCACGCTTCATGTCCACATCACGTACTCTGCGTAAATGGGTGCCACAAACAGTAAGGCCATCAACACGTTAGAACCAAAGGACTGATACTTCGCCCCTCAAAGATGAACTATAACACCAGTTTGAGATTGTTGCCATTTCCATCAAAAAAAATTGTAATAACATTAAGATAGAATCGCCAAAGTCTCCTATACATTCTGCAAGACAAGCGACCAATTCCACCAAGGGCAACCTCTCACCATAGACCTCCAGGCTGGGCAAAAGCCCATAAACCTTCAGAAACATTATTCAAGTTAAAATGAAACGTGGGACAATTTCTCTCAAATAGATTTTGTATAGAAGTGTTAATTTGAATCTCAAAGGCAATAAGGGTTTCACAAGGATTCTGATTCTGCCCAAGACGCCTGGATGTGGATAAACCCCAGAACAAAGACCGATGACCAATACAGAAAAAGAACAATGGTGGGAAGTATTGACCCAATAAGGGGGGAAAACAAAAAGCTTAAACAGAAGTAGATGGAGTAACATTACACCAAAATTCCATAAACTTTATCTAGATTACGAAAAAAGTAAATAAAAAAAAGCAAATGAAATGAGTCAAATTCTACTGAAGTAGATTAATTACCTTCCATATCTGCTAAATAGATCCTCCAGGTCACGTGAACGGGTCCTTGAAGAAAGGCGGCCAACATAGAGCCTTGTAACACCATGGCGATCATCGTAGCGAGGCATTTTCCCTAATAATTGCAATAATCTTTTAGAGCCCCAACTTTTTAAAAGTATTTGTGCAAAACCTAAAGAACATGAATACATGATACTAAACATATCAGCAGATTATTAATATCCCTCTTCTCTTTTATTCAAACAAAAGAAGATACCTATTTTCTATTCAATTCAAAATAAAATGGAGCTACGAAATTTTTCTTAGAATTCCTTTATAGCCAAGATAAAACAGATATGAACAAGATAATAGACATCTATGTAACAGTTTCTCCTCGGGGTTTTACAGGTACTCATAATTGTTGTTACAATTGAAATGGAGATGGTGGTTTTAACTCAATATTGGTTTATCAATTTCTATTTTCTTATTAATTCATTAGGAAAAGAAAATATCAAATTTTTAAGATTCAAATCATTCATGAATTTGCAAACAGCAATCAATACTTAAATGGTTCGAATTTGCCATTAATTTCTAGAATTGTGAGTGAAAATCGGCATTTGCTTTCTAATACCGAAAACCTAACCATTTTGCACATGTAATCACCAAAAGAAATAAGTAATTATCAAAGACTTAATTTTAGAGAAACCTAAATAAAAGCACGCACGCCACATACGAGAAACCCCAGAAAATTACATTCTTCATAGATGTAGAGCTAACAATTACTAATACGTCATAAAAATGTTCGATTTATTATCACTTGGATTATAACCTAGGACCAGTATATAACAAACCCTTATTCCAATAGTGTCACAAACCTTACACTCTTCCGCATTCAAATTACCTACTTAACAGATAAAGTAGGCATGTACGAAAAGACTCAATCCAACAGAAGACAGCATATATGCAAAAAAGCAAGCAAGCAGACATATACAGATATATCAGCAAATTCGTAGTACATGAAAAAGGATTATCAAAACAGTAACAATTTACGGAAGAATGGCTAAGCTGATAGCTCGGAATAAGAATTACAAGCTGGGGAAGATGGTAAGTGGGAGGGGACGGGGAGCTTGGGCGTACCTGCAGAAAGAGATGAAACGGAAAGAAGAACCCTAGAACGAACCAGATCCCCCTTTTATTTTATCCTCTGCGGACTGTGGCGGTAGTTTGGACTGGGTGAATGGAGGCTGTCTTGACGATTTCCTTGGATTATAAGGCGCTGCTGTCTGCCTGTATGGGCTTTCTTTAATTGGAAAACACTGGGCTCGAACAGAAGCCCATTCTGTTATGGTTGGGAACTCGGTAAGGCACTGGGCCCATGGGACCCTTGTCCTGTCTGGGTTTATAGTTTTTTTGTGGGTTTTCCTTTTTAAACAAAAAATTTCCCCTTTCTGATGAGAACTAATGAATTTAATGCCAATTTCACCCTCCAAAGTTTGCAAATGTCCTAACTTGACCCTCCAAACTGCAAAAGTTTTTATTTGGTCTTCCAAACTGAAAAAGAGCTACGAACTGCCCTCCATCCAAAAGTAACTCACTTGTTTGGATTGTGATTTATTTGTCAAAATATATTTGCTTACATCATCATTACAATTTCCAACGCACCTTTTTATCTTCCCAATTATCTTTTTATCTCACATACATCACATCACAAAAAAGTGCTACAGTAAAAATATCTCTAATAATTCACGATCCAAACAAACCCATCTGGCAAACTTTTCAATTTGTTATTCCTTTTTCGTATCATAATATTACCATTTTTTTTTGTGCTTTTGTTCAACTCTTTCAAATAAAAGTTCTTGCTTTTCATTTCATTTCACTTCACCCATCCATGGCCTGTATCCGGTGTTTACTGACAAGGGAGCTGAATACAATTTGGCTAAATCTTGATTCATAGTTTGCCCACAGATCAGGGAAGATAAAAAGTAATTAACCCTGTAACAACCTACTACTTGTTCATTACCCAACTCCACGACTAACTTCCGTTCCCTCAACAATGAGCAACGAACTTCACGACAGGAGTTTCCAGCACTTTTACCCCTTGCTTTCTCTACAATCATACTGTTGTTGTTCGAGTAATGCATCTCTAAAACTTCCTGCTTTCTGTTAGATTGTCGACGAGGAGGCACGTGATAAACCGACTTCCATTCATCTGACCATCAGCAAGCTTAGCTTGCGGTTGGAGAATTGGAAAACAAATAGGAACCTCCCTCTTAAGTTCCAAGATGAGGCCACCTTCAAACTGGATCACCATATGTAGAAGAGAACCCTACACTCTATCCTTCTAATAAGGTTGCACAATACTTCTTCAGCCATGCAGAAGCAGACTTCAGAACACGAAGCTCACCAGTAAGAAGATCATGAGCCATTTGTCTCCTTAAAGCATGTTTTCTAACCAAGTTTTGAGAGGTGGATGGTCCCAGAGACTGTACATAGCCACCAGTAAAAAATTATAACATGGACTTACCAAACCAACACACAGATTACACTGCACAAATTAAAGGTTGAAACGTTTAGTACTTTGAAGAAAAAGCTCTTCTCTGTTAGTCGCCTGTTTATTTAATAATCAAATAGTAGGAACATACCATGAAAGCAAAAGTGAAACGACAGAAGTACATGCCTCAAAAATGACCTCAGAATTTTTGGCCAGCCATGTTGTACAAGTCCTTTTCCTCGATTTCAGTTTTCAAAAAGTATCCTAAAACAGAATCATGATAGGATCATAAAGGGAAACTCATGGGTCAGAAGTTATTATCACCTTGATACATGCATCATATTCATTGATTTGTTCAGTTATTTTTGAGAGTATCAACTCATGTGCTTCAATCTCCCTGCTTTTGTTTTTCAAAGGACTTCGAGCCAGCCTACCATCGCTTTGTGCAGCTCCTGACTCCAAATCACTCAATTCTGAGATCAAATGGAAAAAGGAAAAGAGAAATAGATGCAAATCAGTCAGATCTAAGAAAAATAGCATCTTGCAATATTCAGATAGCAAAAGCAAAAAGACGGATTCAAGACCTTGAGCATTTGAACATAGTACACGAGCAAATGCACGAAAAGATTGTGGAATTCCCCTCCCTTTCTTAGAAGCAAACTTCACTTCCCTTCATGACAACCAGGCTTAAATGAGAACAAGCAAAGTCATGTGCTGATGCTGGCAATGGAGAAACTTCTCAGGAAGAGATTGTTGCAGCAAACATTTAGATACAATGAGCTCATATTTAGAAAAAAAGCAAGCACATACGTTTGAAAATCTGAAGTTTGATGAAGATGAAATGTCAGAGAAGAACTCCTTGATATTTTTTAGACAACTTATGTTTTAGAGTGCTATTCTTTTATTCTGTTCATATCTTTAGTGCTCCCAACACATGGCCTGGTGGAAGGGATGCACAATTTAAATGTCTAAATTTAATACTCAATCGCATCAATTCTTGAAAAGCATGTTAGTGAATCAATACCAACTTGATTGTAAATAATTTCTCAGAAGAGCTAAATTCATTGACATCTTTAATGGCTGGTGCCTTGAATCTCTGCAGAAGTTCCAACTTCATCTGAAAAAGATGATAGTGCTGAGGTATATTGAGCTCAACTTGAGCCTGAAAAAAAATAAATGTCAATCATACTTAGCCAGGCCAGCCAGATCACTAGATCATTAAAGCAGTTAACCGGTAAAAAAGACAACGGAAAAAGCTTCTCATACTTAGAACTTTACAAATTCTTAACCACTATTAAACATAAATGACAAATGCAACTAGGTCTCATGACATATGCCACATATGACTGCTAGCTCATTCAAAAATAAGTAGATGTTGATCTGCATGGAGAGAACAGATGTGTATACCTTTTGCAGTCTGTGATTAGAAAGGGTTATTTGTGCCAATCAAATGCCTCAAACATAGTGAAATCTCTCACAAGATCTAACTTTTGGTTGGTCACAAGATGAAACTTTAACTATTAGTAATTCAAAACACAGGATTACTGTAAAAGCACCAGCTCCTGTAGTCAAGTGGACAAAAATGGACTGCAGATGGCAGCAGTAGTAGAATTTAAATGGAAACCGAACTTGTGTTTCAGTGTAAACATGTTTTACACCTTCATAGAAGTTATCATGGTCAGACAATATAATTATCTATATGACAATAGAACCAAATGCGGACATATCACGCCTTTCTCATTGTATTGTCAAGATGGTTTTTACCACTTCTTAGGTACATCCAACCTGTGGATGCATGGATTAAAGCCAGTGTATGAGAGAAGTACAAATTCAACCTCCAAAAATGTTGATATTCAAGAAAAATGACAGGCAACCGCAACCCTCGCCCTCACTCTGTTCCTCCCTGTTTCTCTCTAGTTCTTGAATACTAGGTATTAAGGTTAGCAACTTACTTTACACTAGAAGTCGCATAGACAGCAGGTGGATAATCTAGGCAGAGTTTAAAATTCACAAACTCAAGTATCATAGTATTCTATTGGGAACGCACACTTCAAGCAGCAAAAGTTAAGAGAAAATCGCACACAAATGCGTAACGATAATGCCTGGAAGTGCCTCTGCTTCATTTCTTGCAAGATCAAATTTGAGGAGGCTAACCTGGTCGTAAATGTTGTAAGGAACTGTGAAGCCAAAGTCCAAAACTAGACTACTGTTGGAAAATTTTCCATAACTTATTAGCACCTGGTCAGAAATGCGAAACCATTACCTCCAAGCAACTGAACATGAAGAAACTAAAGCAGTTGCCAGCTGATAAATATGATTCAGCAGGCACCTATAACAGAATCAAATAGATGGAAAAACATATTCAATGAGTTGACATATGAATACATCACCATACCTGATCACCAGGGCTGTAATCACGCTCAGCAATGACCTGCACAAAAATAAAAGCCTACTTTAACATAAAATAGCTAAATCACATTTTTGAGCTTTTCTGGAGTCACGTAATCAGTTATGAAAGATTTGTTCAAAAGAAATACCTAGAATCAGGTTTGCAGTGAAGAAGAATGAACAGGATAAATAGTACAGTTCTAAAATGACACACCAGAATTGAATCAAATGTCCAAATAGACCTGTGTAAAGACTCAAAGACAGGTATCTTGTCAAGCAAGATATCAATTAGCTTGAATTATGAGATTTTATTGTAACAAGTACCTTAAGTTTACACTGTTAAGTCAGTAACAAGAATTTCATGCTGTGCAATTGGCAAATGGGTTAAAAAGATGGTAGTTCTACCAGTAAAAATGTTTGAAAAATCATGATCAAAATGCAGAGAGAGAGAGAGAGAGACCTCTGAGAGCTGTTTTCCTTCATGACTCATAAGACATGCCTCTGAAGTACCATCATGATTTAGAAAATCTGCAAATGGAATCTAAACAACACAAGAATAAAAGCAATTGATCACTGTTACTTGGCATATAACCAATTTTCATCACAGAAACAGTAAACAAGTGTATTACAATCTTTTGACAGCATACCATCGAGACACCCCTCGAGCTTTCCCATGCTCGAGATGTAACTGGAATGTCAAGAAAGAGGTCATCGCCAAATGTTCGAGTCCATAAAACTTAAGGAAATGAAGAAACATAAAATCACCAACTCAAAGTTCAAGGTTTACACAATGTTGTTATTTTAATCCTTATGGTGTCTCAACTGTGCATTTACTGCTGTGGGAAAAGAGGGAAGCAACATGATATGGATGAAACTGGTGAAAAAATGGCTGCTAGACTAGTCAGTAAACAAGAAAGAAAATGTTCATATTTTTCTAAAACAAAATTAATTCATACGTCCAGATATATTGAGAACTTCACCAATGTCTAGCTTTTATAGACAGAAAAGAAAAACCGAACGACAGAAATCACTTGTGTTTTACATTTGTCAAACTTTACTCAAAATTCAGAGTGATAATTTAAACTGAATAGATCTAAAACTATATTTGTTTTATAAAAATATTTTTGGAGCCTTTTGTCTTAGCAACATATATAGGAAATATGAGTTATAGACTGCCTGACTTACAAGAAGATGATGACTTTAGATATAATTCAAAATTTTAAGGTCAGAAACCAGAATCAAACAGCAAACCAGAAACATCTTTTGCAGATAAGTTTAAAGAAATGGTGACCAAATCAACAGAAATTAAATGTGATTATAACAGGATAGGTGTATTTGGAACAAAGAAGAAGTTAGCTTTTCTTTATAGGATAGTGGAACTGTCATAGAGACAGGAACAAACTCCATAACTAAAAGTAAAATTCGATAATCAGTACATAGACACATAGATAACAACAACAGAATTGTACCTAAAGCATGAGCATAAGCAAAGTCCTTCAGAGAGACATCTTCAAAACATTGAGGGAATTGATCAGTGGCCTGAAATTAGAGACAAAGAAAACAAATTGGTTAAGTACTACTGCTAAAGTCAAATTATCTAAATATCAAGGCATACTAATGAGACAACATCATCTTTCATCATACTTTTTGAAACTTGAAAAATTAAAAGGATGTTTTAGAAGGATGTCAGAAACAAAGAGAAGTATCCATATAACGCTATGGTACTTTTTCTCCTTATCAATACAGAGGTGCTTGGATTAACTAAAAATGATTGACAGCAGGACATGATGGGACTAGGACACAAAATAGTCCAAAAAAAGGTTCACAACCATTCATCTCAAACAAATACAACCATTAGAATGCCCATTGAGCTGCAAAAACTTTAATGGAGACAAGTTTCAGAGGTATCAATGGCAGAAAATAACCCACAGTAGATGCACAGTGGCTTGTTAATAGGAAAGCAATCAACAAATAGCAACAAAAATACTGACTGGTTTAATTGCCATAAACTGCTTTTCAATGTGATTCCTTTGTTTGATGGTCTCCTGGTATATAACACTTTGTCTAATCATCTCCAGTTCATCATCACTCCAGAATATCTGCAGCAATTTCAATTGTCACCGAAACATCATACCTCTTGAACATCAGAATAAAACTGCAGATAACTTACAAGACATAAAAGAGAAAGACATGTATATTCACTAATACCACATGAAAGATAGTTTGCCTGTGCATATGAGAGAGAGAGAGAGACCCCAACATTGCCATCTTAAATGCTCGTAAATACCTGGATTCTTGAGATGTCAAATGCGCTGGGTCATATAATGGCAAAATTTTGTTGAATTGAATTCACCAAATACATTTGGTAAAAAAATTTCCAGGACAACTAGTACGACAAGAGATATGGATCTTAACAACACCATCCAGTACTATAAGGTTATATTTGCTAAATTAGTACGACTATGCCCTTAACAAGAGGGAAGCCATTATATTTGATCTACCACTAAAACAGAAGAATTCACCAATCACCAGTAGTACAACTTAACTCTTTCTATGAGAGAAACTTTAGCTATGTGTTTGATGGTAAGAATCCAGAATTGAAGAAGTAGTTTACGACTAAAAATGCTGTGGGCCCCACAAAAACACCAATGACCAGTGAAAGAAAGCAAAGCACATATTTGAAAGGCAAGAAGGTTGAAGCTATCATATTTTCTCTGTATTTTAAAACTGCTAGCGGTATTTGTTTCATTAAAAACAAACTACATCATCTAGGAAAAGAAAGAGCATTTACAGTGTTATGCATTTCAAAAGGTTGAGGAAGCCGACGGATATATGGAGCCCATTCAGATTTCTGAAGATGGAAGTAGAAAAGAAATCAGATTTTCTGGCACAACATGTGGTAAGTATAAAAATGGATTTGCTGATAAAATTGAAAACTCAAAATATTGCTGAACAACCTGACCCATTTTCTGCTCATGCAGCAGGAGTAGAGCAACTTTTGAGACACTGCTAACTTCATCTCCAAACAAAGAACAAATTTCCGGAGGAAGATTATCTGGTGCTAGTTGCTGCAGAATCAGTTAAGAAACTTAACAAACCACCTTAAAGTCATACTCTTAACTTACCAGGAGAAAAAACTAATAAGCAAAAAATTCAGTATCTGAGTTGCACCATAGAACAGAATGATTAAGATCAATTTAGTGTACACTCGGGAAAATTAAAAAAAAAAAAAAGTGGTTAGCAGATAAAATAAACAAATTATGATTTTTTGAAGTTTGTCAGTCCACTTCACAATTTTCAACGTGAATTCAACATCTCAACGTGAATTCAACATCTCAACGCATTAAGCACTCTCAAAATTTAAGTCAAAACTTTTCTATGAAAGTAAACGCTTTCCCATTCAATCTTTTTCAGAAGACCTAAATACCACGCTGTAAGGAACTCTCAATATGCAGTCCCCAGCTTGTATGGGCTTGGAAGCATATAGAGCCCTGCATTCAAAGATGCAGCATATTTATGTATATCAGATCATAATTTTCCAAAGGGAACAACTAAAACTAAAGGCAAATTCTTAGTGTGAGTTGGTTAACGCAAGTCTGAAACGAGTTACAGCAGCAAATTGAAACAGTTATAAAAAGTAATTGATCTGTTCAGAAAATAGATATACTAGGATGAATTCACAAGCATTGGGGGCAGAAGCTAACTTGCAATGTACCTTCCATGTGCAGATTTTCCAATGGAAAGCATGGACGATATTTTTGTACATGCTTTTTGCTCCAACCACGGCAAAAAATCCTCATCACATTCCTCGTCAATGTAGCTCCTACATGCCTAAGCCATTGGACTCAATATCAGATACTACTGCATTGCTTCTTATTCAAGATAATTCTTACGCAAGCCAACAAGCCCAGAAATTTATACATCATTTACGTAGTTTTAGTAATGTAGAAGCTTAAGACAACACTTTCTTTTAAGTACGTATTACGGGAGCTCAAGCAAGAAAAGAGAGAGAGTAAACGAATCAAATCAGAAAAAGATAATAAGACGGAGATAGTATGAATATCGGAGGCGAACCTTATCCGAAGAAGTGGAGAATTTGAGTTTGGGGCGGTGGCGAACGGAAAGAGTGAAGAAATGACGTCGAGCTAGAGGGCACCAGGTATATGTGAAATTTGCTGAGCCAACTAGTACTAGCGTCTGCATTTTCCGGCCACGCAAAAAGCTTTCTTGTACCCCGACTCCGAGTCTGATGTGTCTATTAAACGGACAGTAGCTTGTTTGCTTTTCGCCTTTGGCGGGGAGGTGGAATTCTTGGCACGACTCAACGAGTAATGTTTAATCCAATAAAAATTCTAGAAATACATATTGTCAATCGTCTAATGTGGTAAACAATTGTAAACCCACAGTTGTAGCAGATTATCCACACGTAAATTAACTACATTTTGATTTAGTGGCTAGAATTCATCACCGAATCTCTAGAATAATGTGAAAACAAGAAAACATCACAAAACTGGTGTTAGCTTTGGATTCCACTTTAAGAGTCTGGTGTTAGTTTGGATTCCACTTTAAGAGTCGTCGCAAATGGTCGATAAGATTTCATAAAAAATTGATTTAAATTTCATATATTTTTATGCCAGAATGATTTTTATTTTTATTTTTACAAAAATAAAAGGAGATTCGCCGCAATTTGATTTAAATATCATTTTTTTTTGGCTAGAACTCCTTTTTTTTTTTTAAATTCAAATCCTTCTCTCTTTTTCTCATTCCTTAAATTCTACGCCTTTCTTATTACAAAATAAATAACTTTTACTCCTCCTAAACTTTTTTCCTTTTTTTTAATTGAAAGGTAAAATCTCACACAGTCATCATCCCATCTTCAATTCGTCTGTTAGAGAGTGTATGCGTGGCATCTATTGAATGAATGTTCATGCTCTTAGGGCTAAATTACGATCTTAAATTCAACAATTCATAAATTCTTGTAATAGAGGAAACAAACGTTGATCTGAGAGAGTGACTATTAATTCAACGAATTAATTCAATGGTGTTGAAGTTGCCCCATAATGTAATTGGCCAAATCATGGATTCAACAAGCATAATTATGAGTTGCTTATACAGCACTTGAAAAGTTAGAAGCCTAAACCATAACTATCAAATCTCAGTGTTGAATTATCATATTTGTTATGATGCTTTTCCTTTTTTTTTTTTTTGGGTGATATCAAGATTAAAGTTTTCACTCTTTGATAAGAATTGTGATCAGTGCATAAACAAACTTATTATGCATATAATTACTCTATTGTTTTAGTATTTCTGAAAATAAAGATTGAATTGCAAAAATCACACAAGTTCTACAAAAACACTTGCAAATGACAATAATTTATGTCTTTATCTTTTTGGAACCAAGGATAGTTATGGGCTAAACCTTGAAATCACGTGGCTTCCCAACAAAATTATGGTCAGAAAGTAATCAGACTATTTTAAGTGTGCGAGGAATCACAATATATTAGTAATATATTGTTTTTTGAGCATAGAGGGCTAGAAAAGCGATAAATTGCAAATCCAGGGTCCATTTCTGCAAAGTTCAAAAACTATAATCAGTGAAAATCCAATTACACTACTGAGAGGTTGGGTGCACCAGCGAATAGAATCGCATACTGCCATGTCAGCGATCCTCTTTCAAGCTATAAACTCGCAATCCTCACCGTTCAATTGGTAATCAACGTTCTCCATCACTTAAATTCAACACTCGACGCGGATCATTCCCAAATGTGTTCCTCGCTATAAATGACTCCAGCCACCGGCCACACCTCCCCATCCTCTCAAGTGCAGTGTCTCAATTTCATTTATCTTCATCTAGTTCGCCGCTTTTCTCTTTCAGGTACTTTATATTTTTCTCTTTCGTTCCTTTTTTTATCTGATTTGATGATGGTTTCTCTCTCTCTCTTTCTCTGTACCCAGCGTGAAATTTCATAGCAATTTTTCGTGATTCTTCATATCTTAAAAATTTTACTGGATTCTAATCATGCGCTGTAATGCTGATATGAAACAAACAGCTGTGGTTGAAGATGTCGGGACGTGGCAAGGGAGGCAAGGGCTTGGGAAAGGGAGGAGCAAAACGTCATCGTAAGGTGCTTCGCGACAACATTCAGGGAATCACGAAGCCGGCGATTCGCCGTCTGGCTCGCAGAGGAGGCGTGAAGCGTATTAGCGGCCTGATCTACGAGGAGACACGCGGCGTCCTCAAGATCTTCCTGGAGAACGTGATCAGAGATGCCGTCACCTACACCGAGCACGCTCGCCGGAAGACTGTCACCGCCATGGATGTTGTGTATGCTCTCAAAAGGCAAGGCCGTACTCTCTATGGGTTCGGCGGTTAGGATAGTTCTGTGAAGTAATTAGGGTTTCTGATTTGGTGCCCTTTGTAATTACAAGTAGTAGTAATTTTCTTTTCGGGGAATACGTCATGGTCTGGTACATTCTCTCTTTCGGTTATGCCATGGTTAATGGATGCGTCGTTGTTTGCTGTTGGAAACGAAAATCGCGTCTGTTCGAGATTCTGTGCAATGGCCTTCGATTGGTCTGTTATTCGTGCATTTATCACGTGATTGAATTTACTGGATGAAAGCAGCTGAGATATGTAACAGTAAGTATTTCCAGTAGCTAAACAGTTTTAAATCCGAGAGTTTTGCTGCATTTGACTGGAGCTCTTTTAAGCATATAGCGATAATCGTAGAAGACAATTCATTGGTCTAGGGAGTTTGGTGAACGTGGACACTTGATCCTAAATCTTAATAAGAAAACTGCAGCCTGCACTGATTCGTTTCATAAACTAGACCCAGAGGTAAGAAGCGGGAGTTAGAAGGTAGGAATGCAATTAATGAATGACAGAAAATTGTACTAGCGTTACTAGTATACTACAGGAGGGTAGAATTGATTTTTGAAGCAAGAATGGAGTTTAGGCAACTGTGATGATTAATTACTGCTTGTGTTTGGATTGTATTTTCTTGAATTTTTTAAAAAAAATTACTGTAACAATTTGATATATGTTTTTGTTTGGATTGTATTTTCTTGAATTTTTTAAAAAAAATTACTGTAACAATTTGATATATGTAAAAACAGGATTGCATTTTCTTGAATTTTTAAAAAAAAATTACTGTAATAATTTGATATATGTAAAAACAAATCATAATAAAAAAAATGATTATAAAAAATGATTCAATTTTTCGGTGAAAAAGGGCTGTTCAAATGAGGTGACTATTCTTGCCCTTAAATATGAATGGAAATATAAATACGGAGTCGCGATTTGGATGAGCTTGGGATTTTGCTCTACTCCAAGGAATGCTTGATTAGTAGCGTCTGTCCAACAATTTCCTTCCGTCTGGACTCTGCAATTTATTAGTTAGTGACCCTTTAGATTATTATATCAGTCCCAACTTGCACACCGGCTAAATTTCTAGGCCTTCTTTAGGCTGATGTTTACTCATGATTCAATTTTACGCTAGTGATGGCTGGGTTGGCCCAATGTTTATTCATGATTCAAATTGACACCAGCAATGGTTGGGTTAAGCCCAAATCTTGGTGACATGAATATATTTTACTGCAATGCATTTACTTTGAGGGCCCAATACATAGTTGCCCAACCCGATGCAACATGCTAACCTGGCGACTAAAACCAAACTGCTACTGAAACCAAAACGTTTACATGCTATCAGTGCACTTCTAATAGTCTCTGTCGATTAACCCTTGACTCATTCGCTTTTGTTGAAAACCCACCGTCCCCATCTTTAATTATGATAATAATAATAAAAAGGAGACAGCAAAGGCGCATTGACTGATCTAATTCAAACTGCCGTAAACGCACAGGATTTGGCATCCAATAAAAAAAAAATCAGGAGACACAGAGTCCAGCATTGACGCATTCGTCTTGGCCCAAAGGTCCCAAACCCAAAGGCTTAAGAAAGGATCACACAGCCGGTGGGGCCCTTCCGCACCTGCTAGAGGCGCACGTCGCAAGGAGTCCACATTCCACGTGTCAACATCTGATTCACGGATTTAATCAAGCTTGCGTGACATTTCCGCTAACCCCGCGATGAATAAATTTTTTTTAAAAAAAATTCAGATGGAATAAACAAAACTTGCCGCCACCCACTCAGAACAGCCAGCCTGCACGCACAAGATAAGCATCGCTGAATCTGATTTCTAACCACTCCCACACAAAAGTCAAAAATTGACGATAATTTACAAATTAAGAAGAAAAATACCACCACTACTAGTACGTGCTATTTTTTTATTTATTTTACTTGGAGGAGGTGAAAACCTGAAAAATGAATAAAGCATTATCGCATTCAATTCAATTGGACCAGGACCAAATAATTCAATTAATAGTGGGGGGCCCCCCGGGATGGGGGGGGGGGAGGATATTTCTACGAAACCTAATCAATCAAAGTTCCAATCAAACGATAGAAGATAAGAAATTACCTGGAAACCACCACAGCATTATTATTATTATTAGTCATTACTGCTTTCCCACCAGGCGAGGCCACCACTGCACCACTTTCTCCTGTTTCATCTCTCTCTTTCCCGATTCTCTTCCCCAAAGTCTTTTGTCTTCTTTTCTTTTTTCCTCTCTTTCTTGCTTGCTTTCCTTTTTTCCACACCAGAGAAAGAAAAAGAAAGATATGACATTATTAGCTGTCTAAAGGTTGTTGTCTTCTCCTGTGTGGTTTCTCGGTAGATTTTTTCCCGATTTCTCGATTGAAATATGAATGTATGCGATATCAATAAGTTTTTGGTTTCTAAATTTGATTAGATTTTTGTGCTGTATACGGATCTAATGATAGTTAATAGCTCGGAGGTTCGTTTTACCTGTGTGTGTGTGTGTGTTTTTTTTTTTTGGGGGAAAAATGCAATCAATGCCCAGATTTTGTCTGTTGTTCCATCGTTCATCACCTTGGTTGTCTTTGTCCGGGTGTGCCTGTCGGTGCCATCAAAATTTGATCTTTCTGGGGCAGGTTGTATGCTAGGAGAGCAAGTCTGGTGATTTTCTGGAGGTGTCTTGGGGTAGAATCATAGTTTCTGGGATTATTGGGATTTTCTTTTTAATCAGCTCAATTAACTTTCACTCGGACGAAATTTATCATCTAAAAATTTCTGTTCTTTGGTTTCTCAAGGAAGGGAAAAGGATTTATTGGGAAATTGCCATATAATTTTCTAAACTATTTTAGTAAAGCTCCTATTTTGTCAATTTGTGATTTTTTTTTATTGTTTCTGTGTTACAAAATGATAATTGATTTCGATTGCTTTGATGATTCTGTCAGGAGCTATGCTTTCGATTATGGTTTACCGTTTTAAATTGTTGACCTCTAGCTTTTTCTTTGGTTTTTAAACCAGCAAAATCCCATCTGTGATTGCAGAGTTGATATCTCTGATTGCAAAGTATCTGGCTACGTGTATCATCCGTTAAGGCCATCCCAACTAGCTAACTGGAATTTACAGGAGCAGAATCGGTTGAGACCGTACGGCTTTTGAAGTATCTCTGATGTGCTTAGGCACTTGGTTTTAGAGGTTTCAGCTAAAAAGAGATTTCCTGACTTGTGCCAGCTTTGAACTGATGCCTGTTTCTGGAAAAGAAGAGGTTAATCATCTGTTTCCTATGTTGTTATTAGCACTTGCTGTTATTCTTTGTTATTATTGATGATTGTTCACCGTTTGCAGCCTCGGGTCCTTTCCCGGAAGTCTGCTACTGATATTTCTGCAGGTATCCCTCTGAAGAAAAGGAGGTTCTTGTTGTCCCCGCCGTCCTCTCCTCCTCGTGAAGAAGTAGTACCCGAGGTAAATGATTTGAAGAAACATGAAGAATCTACCCCAGACACAACGAACAAAGAAAATTTTGTAACAGATTCTACAGAGAATCAAGAATCTTCTTTAGAATTGAAGAAGAAAGAAGCATCTAGTGCAGATGTGAAGTATGGAGAAGAATCTGGTTTAGAGCAGGCGAGCAAAGAAGATTCTGGCTCAGAATTGGGGAGCAAACAAGAATTTGGTTCAGGTTTACAGGACAGTATTACATCTAGGCCTGGTTTGAAAAACAATCAAATATCTTCCTCAAATCCAGGACCTTCTAGTATAAATGTCGCTATCAGATCTCCCGAAAAATCGGATGCTAGTAAGATTAATCTCCTTGAGGTTAAGAAAGAATGTGTTTCTGCACCAAACGCCAACTTGGATCATTTGGACACAGACGTTTCTGGAGTCAAACTTCCGGAGTTAAGCCCTATGTTTAATTTGGGTTCTGCAAACAGGGTCGAGAGCAACACGGATCTTCTTTTGACTGGAAAACTAGCAAGCTCAGGAGTTCCAGGAACCCCTCTGGGTGCTGCTTTGGTGAGTGTAAAGAAAGAGATACACAGCAAACTGGTGGAGGATGATGTTAAGCTCAAACTTGCTACGGGTTTGGGGAATAATGGTAAATTGGCATTGGGACCAAAGGAATTTTTTGGTTTGAATGTAGATCCTTCTCTGTTGTCCTTGTCTCTAAGCAAAGAAAAACATGTTACAGAAGAGAAGAGTGGAGATACTAGCTCAAAGGATGATAGCAAATCGGAATGTGCTAATCGATCAAATTGGGATTTGAATACCACTATGGATGCTTGGGAGGGATCTATTGGTGATACTACTTTCCAAGGTACTATTGGTGGCTCAGGTAAGACAATCAGCTTGAATGATCGAAGACTATTAAGCTCTAATTCCGTTGTCAACGTTAGCAGCGTGAAGGAGAAACAGGTTAATGCAACAAGGGAGCCACGTTCCAGTTTTCCAAATTCTTCTGTACAGTTGATTAAACCTTCTGAGGACTCACTCCGTCTGACTCTTAGTTCCTCTTTTGGGAATGTGGATTTTGTCCGAGAGCGCACTCGTTTATCAGCTGAAGTAGCTCCTAGGATGGATATTTCCACAAATCGGCATAGTGGATTGCTCTCAACTGAAGACAAGAAATCTCCTGGTGTCAGCTTAGTCAAATTAGAACCTAGTGATGAGAATTCCAAAAATAGTTCTGTGGGAACCATCAAGAGATCTGCTGAATTGTCGGATTTCAATGCTGTGAAAAGGGAACCTATTGAGAAGCACAATGCTGAAGCTGTTAAATTGCTAGCTAGCAGCCCCCAGGACACAACTGGACAAAGGTCTATTAAATCTGAACCTACTAATGAAGTTAGTCAGGAACTCTGCAGGACATCGGATTTGAGACAGCAACAATCAATTCCAATGTTTGTCCACTCTCAGGAGAGTTTTTCTTCTTCTTCTGTTTTACCAACACCTTTGACGCCCCAAAAGCCTTCTCCTTCAAGAATACCTACTTCTTCTGATTTATCTACAAGTGCAGATGTATCAAATCAATCTGAACGTTCCACTCATACCAAAGAACCTCATATGGGTAGTGATGGCTTTCTTCAAGCTCCTGCAGATATGAATCCTAAGACTGCGCATCACAGGGTTAGAGAAGAAAATATGGCTGCTCATAAGATGGATAATAATGAGGCAGAGGACATGAATGTTGATCATCCTGAGCTGAAAAGGACAAAGGAACATGTGCATGATTTACGTGCACATGGTGAGGGATCCGTGAGTGATGAGGAGAAGATAAATATATCAGCTGAAACAATGGAAGATGAATCTTATGGTTCTGAATGTGAATCAGATGGTAAGCAAGTTGTGGTAAGCAAGTTTTTGCATGGTAGAGTTGGGAGAGATGATGATGATTATGAAGATGGTGAAGTTCGGGACCCCTTGGAGAATTCAAAAATAGAGGAGCTTACTGCAGATGGAAGTGCAGATAGTGCTAAGCATGGTGATTGTGATAATAAACATTGTCCTTCTGGATTTCCAGGTGGTGATACTTACACCGACCAATCCTGTCTTGTGCATAAAGAAAACGACTTGAAAATTCATGACAATACAGCTGTTGATTGCATCAAGGAGAGTGTTGGCACAGTTTCTAACAAGAATTGTGAACAGCTTATGGCTAAAGATGGTCATTCAGATAAACTTCCATTGGATGGAATGGCTACAACTGATGCAGAAGAGGAGCCATGTAGTTCCTCCCAAAGGAAATTACTTGAGCCAACAGGTAAGAAATCTTCCCAAGAGAGTATTGAAAAAGATATGTCCTGTGATGGAACAACTAGTTCAGGCATTAGGACAGTACCAGCAGCAGGTGAGCCCAAAGGTCAAATTGCTAAAGCAGTTAACACGGATGAGAAGCCTGATTCATCTCTTTCAAAGGTAGAAGATTCTTTAAATGGTAATAGTGCTGCTAAAAATTCAACGAGTGGAGGTAACAAGAGCCGCATTATCAATTTACCTCGTGCTTCTGCAATATCTCCTTCTAAAACAAGGTCAATTCCGGATAGATTACTGTCATCAAGAAATGGAAGAGGAAGGTACTCAGATCTTGATGGGGAGAAATTTATTCCACGAGGAAAGAGGTGATTATTCTCTGCCATTGCTAATTAATCATTCTTTTTATACTTTTTTATGGTTCTGGAATTATTTTGTGATTTATCTGTCTTGTATTTTGCAGAGATGAAATTGACGCTGATAATCCCCATAGATTCCTTAGAGAAAGGATTCAAGATCAGTCTTTTAGAAACTCCAGATCGAATTATACAAGGGGAAGAGGGAAGTTTTCTGGTCGCTTAGATACTTCACGAGGCGAGTGGGGTTCTAACCGTGACTTCGCTTTTGGAAGTTACAATGATGACTATCGGTTTACCAGGAACAAACATGCTGCTGCCATTGCTGATACTGAGCTTGAATGTAATGACTTTGTTATTCCACCCGATGGTGCTTCTTTGAGTATCGGTAGAGGAAGGAAATCTTTGAATGACGATTTGCCTTCATTTCGACGTCCATCCTCAAGGAGGTTGTCTCCTGGAGGTAGAGATGGTCCTGGCAGCAGGGAAATCCAAATGGTTCACAGAATTCCAAGAAATATTAGCCCTGGTAGACTTAATGATGATAATGGGGTTGACTTGGTTGGACTTCGTCAAGATGGAAAATATGCGAGGGATTTACCAGATGGTATTATAGAACCTGCATATACTCGTCCGAACTCAATGTATGAAGGTGGGAATACTCAATTTGTCCGAGGGAACAGGAACTTCTCTACATTCCAGAGGAGGGGATTTCCTCAAGTTCGGTCAAAATCTCCAGTTGGATCACGAACACGCTCCCCTGGTCCATGGACTTCCCCTAGAAGGAGATCTCCTGCTGGATTTGGTGGACTTCAACAATTGGCTCAGCATAGATCACCAGCTATGTATAGGGTGGAAAGGATGAGATCTCCGGATCGTTCTTGTTTTCCTGAAGATATGGTTGCTAGAAGGCGTGGATCTCCCTCCTTCTTGGCTCGGCCTTCTGATGACGTTAGGGATGTAGACTCTGCAAGGGAGCATGGTCATCCAAGGCCTATAAACTCCAGTAGGAGGAGCCCATCTGATCGGGTTTTCAGCAGAAGCACTAGGAGAGTTGATGTTTTGGAACCTCGAATTAGGACAAGTGGTGATGAGTATTTTGGGAGGCCAGTACCTTCTGGCAGATTTCAGGAATTTCATGGTGAAGGAAGTAGTGAGGAGAGAAGAAAGTGTGGTGAAAGCCGGGGATTGATTCGTTCTTTTAGACCTCCATACATTAGTGACAGTGATAATCTTCGGTTCCAACTGGACGATGGTCCCAGGCCTTTCAGATTTTGTTCTGAAGGTGATGCAGATTTTGTTGGAAGGGGCATCAGAGAAAGGGAGTTTGATGGGCGGATGAAGGGTCGACCTGTTGCTGCTCCTAGACGAATTCGAACTATCGAGGATCAAGAAGGAAATTACAGGGACAGTGGGCAGGTATGGCATGATGATGGGTTCAATGAAGGGTCCGGATATAAAAGGAGGAGATTTTGACACAGTTCTTCAATGTACTGGAAACAGGCATCTTCATGGCTGAATTCCTGCTACTTAGGGCAGGCATGAAAACCATGGTGCGTAATGGACTTTGGGGATTCGCAAGAATGCTTGACATGAAAATTTGATTGCATGAACTCCTATGCTTTATCACTGGGCAGGGACTTGGATTGTTTACCAGCATTACATTAGTTGAATTGCTAGATTGAGATGTTTAAAGTTCATGCTGATGAATGCGACCAGCGGAAGGCACTTTTGTCAACTATGATATATGTGTCAAGGTTATAACTAGAGCTGTGTGTTTCTCTGCAGAGATTGACATTTCATGTCCTGACATGAAATGGATACAAACGGAATCGTTGAATGCTTATCATGTTGATGGTGATGCAGGATGGTATAAGATGATATTGAATCTTTTATACTGTCTCTATAGCTATTTTAAGCATTTGTGTTCATCAAAGTCTATGGCTCATTTTTTCTGTCAAGGGGAAGAGAGCAGATGGAGAACACTAAATGCCGGATTTAGGTACTGCTATGGATGTATAGTTGCTATTTAGGTTTTACTTTGCAGGCCCTTCGACATAGAATTTCACTGTTACAGAGTGGAGTACTCTACAAGCTTGAACGATTTCGGGCAAAATGCTAGCTGGTTGCTATTAAAACCGGATACGTAAATATGTCGAACAACCATTTCCCTCAGCTTTTTATGCAAAATATCATCTAAGTTATTGGTGGATGGTAGAATTGCCTATGGTTTCAGGTCAAGGAATGTGTCAGCTGAAATTTTCAGCCCTTGTAACTAGTTTTACTGAGGCCGAAGCGTTCTCTCAGCCTTACAGAAGGTAGGTAAATTTCTGGTGCTTGGGTGGGGCGAGACAAGGCTCAAGGACTTTGGTCTTTTTGTCTTGTGATGCTTTCCGTGCGCATTTAATTTTTGATCCGGGTTCTTGCCATTTCACTTGGACTTTTCTCTCAAGGCAACACAACGTTGTGTTCATATCTTGGGATTTGCCACGGGAGACAGCTAAGGTTTGCTATGGCAACGAGCTGGATTTCCCAGCAAAAGGTGTTGACGCCTCTAAGTTGCACTAGTAACGTGTTTGAATTCTCAAATTCCATGACGGAAGGTTAGATAGAGAGTAATAAGATGGGGACTCAATGAGAGAGCATAATTTTTCTCAACTACTTTTTCTTGCATGTTGATGACTCTTAGCCCTCCACCGCCCATGTTAAAAATTAGAAATGAACACGGAGAAGAAACCTGAAAGATCTTCAAATTTCTTCATGATCTTTGCCAAAGTTCTGAAGATTGTCCATTTTTTATCAGCGGGGTTTAGTTAAGAATTTAGTACATTGCCAAGATTATTGAAAGTGGTTTCCAGGATGTCGTACAACATGAAATGCTCAAAGAATAGCACTAATGTTTTGGCTGATGTCCTCTGTGGTGATAGGCAAACACACCTTACTTCTGTGGTGATAGGCAAATACACCTTACTGGTTTTAGGAAGTTAAGGGTATAAGAAGAATTTTTCACCCAACTGGAAAGCTTACATTGAAAAGTCGGCATAAATGTGTACCTAGAGACTGCAGAGTAATGCACCTAAATAGAAAAAGTATGCACCTAAACCGTGCGATGAGAAGAACATGAACATAGAGGGCAGAAAGGATTCTCATGCTGATGATGAAGGCCGGTGCACAGGCTGATTCTGGTAACCACAAGTTGTTCTAAACTCGAAAGCTCTGTGCCTGAGTCATTGGGGGTAACAGGCTCAGTAGGTTTGGCAGTCACAGATCCAAGAAGTCTCAAATGATCAACGGTGAATTTTGAGCTCATTATTGATTTGAGCCCACATGGGTCTGTTTTTCTGTATGCAAAACTGTTTATAAAACATACTGAATACTATGAAAGATTCAAATGACTAGGACTAGCGTCTAAGGCCAATTGGGTCTGTTCTCGATGACATGAAGCACCACTTACCCGACGTCGTTCCAACCGGTTATTTAGTTAAATGAGTTTTCCTGCCTCTTTATTTGACTAATGTCATTACTAGGTAAATTAAGGTTTAAGACAAATATCACGCTTATCGGGTGTTTGGTTTGTATTATGAAATTGAAACCGAAACTATAAGCCCCATTGAATTGTACAAAATTATGGATGCCAATGTGCGAGTCACGAAATTGTCTACCAGTAATTTGATTTCTAGTAGTTTCGAAAATACTACTATCTTTGAAGTGAAAAGGAACTATGTGGATTTTCAACAAAGCCATATCCGTTTGGCAACTCTTTATTGGGCCTTTAGGTTCAAATATCTGCAATATTAGTTACAAAAGTTTCGGCTATTCCGAACATGACTAGTAAATCTGAGTCACGAGACAGCATTATGATACAAAAGGTTCGGAAATTAGGAATGTATAGGCTGATGGCCGGCAAACGACAATCTGCGATGATACACAATGAATTAGGCTAAGTACAAGCCTATAAATTCGTAGTAAAGCATTTTGCGTGCCTCAGGGGGTGCAGAGTGCACATCGGTATCAGGAGGGAAAATAAGGATGAAATTGCCATCAGGTTTCTACAATAAATTAAATTAATAAATCCCATATTAATATTAAGATGAAAAGCTAAAAAAAAAAACTAAAAGAAACCACTACTAAAAAAATAAAAACAATTTCTTCGCTTACCAAAATGCTCTTGCACCCATTCGGAGGGTGAACCTCCAAGTAGTCTGTCTAACCCCTAAAATCACAACCAAATATAAGCAAATTAATAAAATGGAAAAATGGCTTAGACTTTCAATATTTTTACTTAAACTAATTTCGTCCTCAAATTAATAAAATAGAAAAATGCTATTATTCGCTAGCTAATGGCAGAGCTGGCCATGGATGTTTACATTCTAGTTGCAAAACCATTTGGATTAGCTGTTTTTGGAGGTGTTTTTGAAATTTTACTGTAACAGAGTTTTTAGAGTATATTTTGGGATATTTTTAGAAAATATTTTGAAATATTTAAGAGTATTAAAGTTTTTAAAATATATTTTGGGATATTTTTTAAATATTAAAAAATTTTAGATTGCTTTTTAGAGTACCTTTCAAAGTACTTTTAAAAATTTTTTATAGTATTTAAAAAATTAGTTTTTAAAAAAACTGAAGGATCCAATGATGCTTAGTTTGCTTCTAACTTAGTACTGATCTCTTGTTATTGTCCGATTTGCTTTCTTAGTGCTGACTAGGGGTGGAGCTGAGTCAAGCTACTCGACTCGAGCTCGATATATACTCGATCAGAAGCTCGAGCTCGAACTCGCTTCATCGAGCTCGAGCTCGATCTCGAGCTGCTCGTTAGAGCTATCGAGTCGAGCTCGAGCTCAGAAATTTGATACTCGAGAGCTCGACGAGCTCTATCGAGTATCACATAAAAAAATATAAAATAAATTATATATAAAATTACTAATATAGGTAAATAAATTCTGAGAAATTACGGGTGAGTACCCTTATCGAGTCGAGCTCGAGCTTTTTAAGGACTCGATCGAGCTCGAGCTCGAGCTGTGATTCTCTGACTCGATCGAGCTCGAGCTCGAGCTCGAGTATAATTATATTATAGCCTAGTCGAGCTCGAGTATAGCGGTACTCGAGCTCGACTCGGCTCGAATACACCCCTAGTGCTGACACCTTAGTATGCCGATCAACCAATGAAGCGGCAGAAGAAGCTATTTGACAGTAATCTATCAGGAACTTCAGAAAAAGACTGGGGTGTCAAAGGCACTCGTACTTTTCTAGTCTCTGACCGAACTCCCTACTCTTTGTTGTGATCAGTACTTTGGTTGATTGATCGGGGGTTCAAGCTTTCCCCAGGCCCTTCTCATCAATGGACTCCTAACGTATACGAAGGAGTGCGGTTCGTTCGAGAAATTTCTACCTCTCTATCTATCTCTGAGATGTTTGGATTTTTCAAAACTCCATGGACATGCAGAAGAGAAATACTATCCCCACTCGGACCAAGACAGAACTTTTACTTGTTCAAATAACAATTAAGGTAAAGCAGAGGGACGAATTGACTCTATCACTAGCTTGAAAGAAAGGGCTATGCGAGCCTCTTGTGAGGACCCCGAAGCATAGTGATTCGGGTCTGGGCGATCCTCCTCGCTTTGCGCACCGGGAAGGAGCCCCAAACCGAAATTCTCTGGTAGAGGGGTAGGGGTTGGCGGTTGACTGAACCCCCCTTCATTGATTCCTCCCGAGGTATGAAGAAAGGGGGCCACTGCCTGGTGCAGCTCTCCATCAATAGATATCCAAGGGAATACACAATTTTTAATAGAATGAGAGAACAAAATAAGTATATATAGATAGAACCTTTGGGGGAGATTCTCTTTCTCAAGGGGAAGAGTTGCAGTACTCTCTGCTTCCAAAACATCATAAAAACATACAATAGCCATTTTTTTTGTCAAATTATAATGTTATCGAATGCAAATTATTTCCAATCAAAGTAATTTTGCCTCAATTACATTTGTTACAGCCAAATTGACAAATAAAATTACTAACATCACAACAAAACATCCAAATTTCAAGTTTATTCTGTCCAAGTAAAAATGCTTTCAAACAATTTGAAGGGAGAAGAGAGAAAGAGAGTGTGTCGGAAGGAACCTCTTGATTGTGTAAGATTGTTGAATAAGCAGTTAACATAAATTTCGTAAGTATGAAGAAGACGCAATCTAATAATTGAAGAAGAAGATGAAGTATGATTTAGACTATGATTGAAGAAAATTTTGGTTTGGGGTAATATTTGGGTTGTGACATTGAATAAGTAAACGCAATAACAAAAAACTTCATTGAAGAAGATGTCCCTGTTTAATAGAAAAATTTTTATTTTGTTTTAAGAATAATCCTAACTTGTAATTCCTCTTTTGTCCTTAACTTAGTGGTCATTTTTGTGCCGGAAACAAACTAATTGGCGGCGCCACCGTGAAAGGATATAAATGGCCACTAAATTTAAATTAAGAGACTAAAAACATCCAAAATAAAAGATTTGAGGACTGAAATTGACTTAAACAAAAATGTCGAATGACTAAATTAGGCATTTTCCCTTCAGCAAACAAAAATAAAGTAAAAGTGCAAATTACTAGAAACTAATAGAAACTGAAGTGCATTGTTTTGCCGGTGCTAGAGGAGACTCAGAGTTTCTGATACCTTCGAGTAGATTAGATTATGTCGCCTCCAGCTGGCGGCTTGACAAGTTGTACAGAAGACCAGCACCGGCAGAGCTGACCTCCACATTAGGTATCGAGTCTGAGAAAAAATGACTTTGCAGCGTGTTTAAAAGGTAGGATTCATTGTTTTGATTGTGGAAATTGTCTCTTAGTTTTGTGTTGTGTATAGTTTTACATTGTGTGATGAAAAAATTCTTTGATTCTGTTGTGGAGATGAAAACAGAGACTATATATAGGGACGCAATTGAAGTGGAATTAAAACGATGGAATTGAGATAAAAAATGGCTAGATGGGAAAGGGTGAGGTCGGGAGCCAACCTACGACGTCGTTCTAATAAGTATATTTTATTTTATTTTGACGTTTTCACCTTCAGAGACTTTTTACGTGTTTTGGATTTATTCACCAATGATGGAGGAGATATGTTCTAGTAGATTAGTTCCCACTCCCTCTAGTAGCTTGGTAGATATCTTGTACAAAAATCCAGCACCAACAAAACCTATCAGCAGGTAATGTGTTTCGATTTTGAGCAAAAGTGTTTTTGTAGCATGCTTAAATTTTGGTTTCATTGTTTTCTCTATTCAATGGAATTTATATTTTAGAAATTCTCTAGTTTGGTTTTAACTGATGCAAAAAAATTTGTCTAGTTCTATTGTGTAGATGTAAAAAGATGGAGCATTTATAACAAATGAAAAAAGAGAGAGTAATTTTTTCCCTTCTCTTTTTTTAAAAAAAAATTCAAAAATTTCGTCTCTTTTATCAATTTCGTTTGTTTCTATTTTTCTTGATCTCAGCAATAGATGAGCTACTATTCTTATTGTTTTTATCTACAAATCCGATATCTTCTGAGATTAGGTTGGTAAGTTTTTTGAACTGAATCTTTTAACAACTATTTTTATATGAATTTTTCATCGTCTTAATCTGACAAGGATGAGGTGACTAATAATATTAATAGATATTTTAATAAGATTGCAAACCAAATATTTTGAGAAAATATCTTTCAGGTTGAGAGGTGAAATTTCTTACTTAATTTTTGTGATATAGTATGAGGAGTAATAAGCTTTAACAAAAGATTGTAATAAGTCTTTGGATGGAGTATCAAAGGAAAAAAGAAAGTATTGAAACAAAATATGAAGATAAGATGCAAAAAAATCATATATCTAAAACCAGATATCAGGATAAGAGATGATGTTAAGTACACGAAGCAATATGGTAAAGTAATTTTTGCCAGGAAATATACTATATACCAAGTTTCAATCAAATTTCTGTTCTATAAGATATTCAATGATCATGGGTTGTGATTTTTGTACGATTAGAATAAAAATGACATTTCTCCAATTGAAAGAAAAATAAATGATTGAAATGAATTTTTGCATTGTGGCTGTCCAATAGCTATAGCTCTTTAGATTGAAGTTTTGTTCATTTTATCCTATTTTGTGAAAATTATTCTCCAAATAATAATAATAATAATATAATAAACATACCAGTTTTCTCATCCTATAGTCATCTCGCAACACCAACCCTCCATCCATCATAGCCATGGCATTGCCTCAAAATTATTCATAAATGATTGAGTTTTACTCCCATCTTTAGCTTCTAAGATACTTGATCCATATTTAGACCCAAGGTCTACAAGGTACTGAGTCGACAGCACAAGACGCTCACCAAAGTGAATTTGATGAGCAAATTCGACTGCAGTAGTAATAGTATTGGGACCACATGTTCCTATCAAAAAACACAGCAAACACTATATGAGCTTTACATTGTATTTTTTATATAAAGACCATTGCATAATAACCCATTGATTGTAAAAATTGTAAAATTTTCATGACGTGTATTGTTTAGATAATTGGCAAATTACACATACATCTAACCTATTATATATAATTTTTATTGATACAAGAATTAATGACTAACCTAAACTCAGTAATTTATAACTTACCACCAATCTGCCGTCTAATTGGAGATGACACACCGTTATTATGCCATGAAAAGTGTTGGCCATCAGCAGCAATGAATTTGCCACAAATAAACTGAGCATAAGAAAAAAAATGAGATAATGTAAGATAGACTAAATGCAATATTGGAGAGCAAATCTAGTGTAAGTATTTACTTGTATCTTTATTGACTTTGTTCAGAAATTCCAATGATTTATTTCCTAAGCACAGATTCTTCAACAATGTACATTTTTGAGTGATTATAATTGCAAAAGCAATCTAAAAATGTTGACGATGATAGTAACTTGTTACATTAGAGTTTAAGTTATGAGATATAAAGTATTATGTTGTGACACAAATTTTGACTGCAATCCAGCTATTTAGATGTCTTACCCCACTCGTGCTGTAGCAGCAGGAGCCAGTCCAACCATGGGAGTTTATCCTTCCAGTAGGCTTTGAAACCAGCTGTGCAGTCATCTATATGAATAAAAGTATTAATAGTTCATCAAGTTCATCCATGATAAATTAAAAGTACGAAACAAAGACAAAAAGCACAACTACTGAAAATCTGAAATTTTTAAAAATTGAAAACAAATGCATCAAATCAAATGAGTTAATCCTTCTCGCAGGTTCTGAAGCCAATCGTGCAGACATCTATATGAATAAAAGTCAAAGAAAGTAAACAACTTGATTCAAGGTGAAGTTTAATACAACAGAAATAGTTCAACAAGTTCATTCATGACAAACTAAAAGCATCAAACAAAGTTAAAAATGTACTACCACTGAGAATCTAAAATTGGGAAAAAAAAGCATTAACTAAAATTTTAAGAATATCATTTAAGGATACACACGAAAATTTGAATAGGTACTGCAAAATTTACAAGAATCAATTTTACTTCCAAATGTATAATTAAAGTGCCCTCCAGTACATCTAGAATGTGGAAAACAAGTAGTACAATCATACTCCTTATAAAAAGTTTCTTAGAAAAGCTTGCCATTCAACAATTAATTGCATTAACAGCGTTATACCTAGAAAGACACTGCAAATGAATAGGATATATGAATGTAGAAGATATATCTAGTCAAAGAAACAATCAGTGAACAATGTAAAACAAGAAAGCCATAAATTGGTATCTAATGTACCATAAATCACAAAAAATTTACTGGTAAAAAAAATCAAAATAAACGATAGAATTGTTGTTGCGATTACTCTTAAAACCATAGATGCAAACAAAAATAGTAGCAAAATAACATGGATTGATTTACCAATGATGGAGGAGATATGTTCTAGTAGATTAGTTTCCACTCCCTCTAGTAGCTTGGCAGATATGTTGTACAAAAATCTAGTACCGGCAAAACCTAACAGCAGGTTATGTGCTTCGATTTTGAGCAAAAGTGTTTTTGTAGCATGCTTAAATTTTGGTTTCATTGTTTTCTCTATTCAATGGAATTTAGATTTTAGAAATTCTCTAGTTTTGTTTTAACTGATGCAAAAAAATTTGTCTAGTTCTATTGTGTACATGTAAAAAGATGGAGCATTTATAACAAATGAAAAAAGAGAGAGTAATTTTTTCCCTTCTTTTTTTTTAAAAAAAAATTTTCAAGAATTTCGCCTATTTTATCAATTTCGTTTGTTTCTATTTTTCTTGATCTCAACAATAGATGAGCTATTATTCTTATTGTTTTTATCTACAAATCCGATACCTTCTAAAATTAGGTTGGTAAGTTTTTTGAACTGAATATTTTAACAACTATTTTTATATGAATTTTTCACCATCTTAGTCTGAAAAGAATGAGGTGACTAACAATATTAATAGATATTTTAATAAGATTGCAAACCAAATATTTTGAGAAAATATCTTTCAGGTTGAGAGGTGAAATGTTAAAAGAAAAAATAGCAAATGTCAAACTTCCTCCTACAAAGAAAATATAATGATTATAGTTAGTTGATTTGTTAGAAACTTGTCATTTTTATATTAAAAAGACAACACAAAGGTCATAAATTGATCACCCACTTTCTCATACGTTTATGACATTTGTGTATATCAAGAAGCATCACTTAAGTTCCTTCAATTGATAGAAAATGAAAAAAAATGTTTCAAAAACTTTCTAACTTCCAATAGACCCTTAAGATTATGACAAAAAGGTTCAAAAACTTTCTAGTTTCTTTGTTATGACAAGGTTTATTTCTATTTTATTTTACGAACTATCTCAACAATTTCCCACTTATTTTGTAAACGAAATAAACAAACTAAACGAAATAAACAAACTAGCACATAAAAACAATCCTTAAAGAAAAGAATAGTTAGATTTAAACTTTTCTTTTAGTGTAAGTACATCACCAAATCTAATCAAATTAAAGTTGCATATAGCATTAAACTATAATTTAAAAATTAGGTTAGATATATTACGCACATCCAACTTTAGCAGCCATATGCTCCATCCTAGAGTCATGATCATAAACAAAAGCAAATCCAACTTTTGTTAGAAGCGGCATGACTTCTAGAATCATATAAGTGAAGACACTTTCAAAATTTACAGCATTAAACATTATGCAATGATTTACACTTCATTAAAAGTATAATTTCAGTGTATACTCATCCTCTTATAACGATAGGTATTAGTGAGTTAAGAATGTACATAATATTACTTAGTGCTCACAACCACCTAGCAATTTGTTATTACCTCTTAAACCTTTTCGACTAGCGATAGTGCAATAATCAAGGTAAGGTTTCAATTGGTTTGTTTGGATAGAGTATTATTTGAAATATTATTTGGAATAATTACTGTAACACTTTTTGTGATGTGATGTATGTGAGATAAAAAGGTAATTGGGAATATAAAAAGGTGAGTTGGGAAATGTGTATATGATGTAAGCGAAATATTATTTGAGATATTTGTGCTATCCATTTTAGCTCGTTTGCGAACATGTGTTTGATTGTCATTTCACAAAATTTGGAATTAAATAGTAAGTTTAGCATCAAGCCTGAATTCAAACTTGTCGAGGCTATATAAAATTGGCTCGTCTATGTTAAACGATCGAACTTAAATTAAAATTTTAATTAACTAGCCGAATACGTACATGAACAGAGATTCTGAATCAAAAATTTTCGAATGAACACGAGTCTGATTCAAGTAGCTTAACGAATAAGATTCAAACATGATATACTCAGTTTGTCCACAGCTCTAGACTACTCTTGTGATACTCTAGGAACACTCGGCTTCAAATCCGTCGAGGTAATTAACCCATTATGCCTGTATCATATGGTCGGTGTTAAAACATTAAATAGCTGTTTAACGTGCACTGGATGGATTCCTTCTAGATTTTGAACATCGTGAAGGTAAAAGGCCAACTTAGCCCAGTTTGATACTGGGTCGGTCCAAGGTTGTGGGTCCGTTTTAGACTATATAAAGCACTACCTACGCGACGTCGTTCCTATCTGGGTTATTTTGACAACCTAGTCAAATTGGTTTTCCAACCTATTTGCACTTTTTTTTTTTAAATTCTGTCCCAGCTGATTGTTTTCTGCTTTTCTGTCGATAATTTTGGTCCTTTTCTTGATTCTGCGTTTGACGCAATTTAGGTTTTGGAGCTATTTTTACCGTCTCCTCTGAAAGTTTGAGCCCTTGAGTTCGTTGAATCGGGTAGGATTTTGCGATTTGTTTGAATTTGTTGATAATAAATTGTTTAGTAACCGTTGTTAGGTAAAATTTGCAGCATGTTAGTTTGACGAGGATGAATCAAGGAGGGACTACTGATACTCTAACAACACTGGGCACCAATTCCGTCGAGGTAACTAACCAAATCTTTTGTATTTTATGGTTGAATAATATAAACCATTTTATGTTGAAGATGTTGCTCGGTGTTATCAGGTAGAAGGTAAAATTGTAAAAAGAGCTGCTTAATGAGCATTAGGATGGGTTGTTTCTGAAGGTTGAACATTGGATTAGGCAGGATTTAGCTGCTTTTGTTTGAGATATGAACTTCTCCTTCCTAGCTTGAGTTAGGAAACAAGAAATTAGGTACTAATTTGTGCTGTTTAAGTGCAAATAGCTGGAACTATCTGGTTCTAGCAAGCTTATGGAATGGTTTTGGGGTTTATTGAGTGGCATTGGACGTGATTCTCGTCAGTTTCATTTGAGTAAAAATGGCGAACGTTGATGCGAGTTTTAAGAATACGCCCTCAAAGTTTTTTGTTTGTGCTGGGGTTGGGGAACTAAGATTCCATAAATTATCCAGTTGGATTTTTCTGTAAAATCCAGGATTTATGTTCTAATATGTATGAAAACCTGGCTTGCTGGCATCGTTACTCAGTACTATGTCATCACTTGTATTGCTGGCAGTAAGTTTGAGTGAGAAAGCACCCTTTCTCTTTCATTTCTGCTTTCTCTGGTCATTGTTCTAGAGCGTTTCTTTTTTTTTTTTTGAGTAAACTAAATGGAAGCTGCTAATTTTTCTTCTTAGCTAGTTGCATAAGGATTGCAAACCCTAAAACATACTCATAAGCATAGTGTCCATCATTACGAGTTTGTGATAGATGTGTTTGTTGTGTTAACATGAGATTCGAAGTGGATTGGCGTGGGCTAAAAGTTCTTGTCTTATTCTGTATATGCAGAGGATTTTCTTTGTGCTTTGTGTTGCCTTGTTCTTCACTAGTTAGTTGCTGTTTCTCATTGTTGTTTAAATTGATTGAAGCGGTTCTTTTAATTGTCATAACGATCACCTGTACTAAGGCCTAATTTTGGTTGAGTTAAGTGCGAACCAGATAATGATATGGAGAGAAAAATTTTATGTTAGTTTGTTGTAGAGCTTTTTAGTGTGACATTTGAGAGAAATAAATGGGTTCTAGATGTTTGTGAAGCCCATTGTTTTATATTTGAGAATTTGGAAGAATTGGACTGAAAGGCAGAGCCCTTACTTGAAACCATCTACAATAAGAAAATGGGCCATTAAACAGTTTCTAAGTTGAAACTAGAGCATGAAATTGTGAAAGTTGCACAGTTATGATCTCTCTCTAACACAACTTTCGAATATGATATATTCTCTCGTTAAAATTTCTCTAACTTCATGATGGAAGTGTTTCTCACCCTGTATATCTCTAAGAAAACAATGCAGATTTGAACTCATGGATTGTTGACTCCTGCTATGCATAATTTATGATCTTTAGGCTCTCAAAATCTAAAGTTAAATGTTACACTGTAGTTTTAGATCTTCCACAGTAGAATTATCTTTCTAAGTTCCATTCAGGATTTACATTTGTAAAAAATAAACCATAGTACATATTCAATTCAGTGAGACTATTATTCACAGGCTTCAGCCTTTGTTGAATGGGAAAGTGTCTATATTTTATTACTATTCATATGGTTGTTACTACTGCAGTATATGAAACATATTACATTATAATCTTCTTTGGGAAGTTGATGTGGATTACCTCTATATTTATATCTATGATTTTCTTGGTGGCTTCTGGGTTTCTTGTGTTGTATCCTTTTTGTTTTGTTTTCTTGCTTTCTTCCTCTACCTGTTATGTGTCATGTTGTAAATGCAGATTATATTTGTAATTGATGCACTTTTATCAAAAGAAAACTGGGAAAAAGAATTTTTTTAAAATGTGTTTCTTGTATCTAAAAACAAATTTATCCTTGTTTTCCAGAAGTATCCAGTCATTGATCCAAGTCAAGCACACGCATCCTCTTACTATGCCTCAACTAGCTCTGCACCAATATCATGGACCACCCATGGGGCAAATAATTATCCTAGGGAGAATGGAACCGTTTCTACTTCCACTTATCATCATGACCAACAAGCAGAATTAACCTCAAGGAGTGTCCAAGATGGATTAAATGGGGCACCTGTTGTATCCACTTCAACTTCTGGGGCAGTAAATGTACAACACGATTACAATAGTTATTCAACCTACCAGAATACAGATCCGTATGGATATGGAAATACAGGATATGCATCTTACTATAATAATTATCAGCAGCAAACAAGTCAACCATATCAACCTCCTGTAGGAGCATACCAAAACTCAGGTGCTCCTTATCAGCCTCTTTCCTCATTTCAGAATACTGGGTCTTATGCTGGGTCTGCAAGTTATTCAAGCACTTACTACAATCCTGCTGATTATCAGACAGCCGGAGGTTATCAGAGTGGTGTTTATAGCAACCAGACCAATTATTGGCAAGAAGGACAGTATGCAACATACTCTTCTCAATATCCCAACTACACCCCAGACTCGACTACATTGTATAGTTCCACTCCTAGTGCTGCATCTTCACAGTATGCACATCATTATAAGCAATGGGCTGACTATTACAATCAAACACAAACAGAAGTCAGCTGTGCTCCAGGGACAGAAAATGTTTCTGTTTCTGGTGCACCTAGTCTGAGTTCTGTCCCTTGTGGGTATCCAGCAGCAAATAGTCAAGCCTCTGCACCTTATATTACGTCCTGGAGGCCGGAATCTACATCTTCTGAATTACCTGCGGCACAGGTTTTTTGTCCCTCCTATTTAATGTGTTCACTGATAGTTGATATTTTTACGTTCAATGATAGAATTCACATTTAGTACAAGGTTAAGCATTTACTTTCATGTGCAACTTTCATGAATCACGGACGTTGAAGTGTGCATTTTCAGGAACTGGGTTTGGCCTATTAATCTAGGGGTATTCTTTCCTGTCTAAGTTTCTACTAACAATATTCTTTAGAATTTGGTTCTGGGGTGTGGATAGAATTCACCATTCCTGGTTTAAATTTGCTGCAATCACATATCTCTGTGACAGTGCTTGGAATGTTCAGAGAATATCTGTTTCTTCTTTATGTGTGAATTTTTACTTGTTCATGTGTCCTTCATGGTTTTGGTACCAGTTTACTTGTGTCATATGTGTCATATGTTGACTGGTGATATAATGAAGCAATGCCAGCATCATGTTTTGGTTGATTAGTAACGTGATTGCTTATGCACTGCTTTTCCCTTTCCAGTCTGGTACACTGAATGGTGGTGTTCATGATGGGCATTGGAAGCCTGCACCTGCAGTTTTTCAAAATCAAAATTTGAATTCAGTGCAACATGTTCAAATGCCTTTAGAGACAAGTTCCACATATGAAAGCTTCCAGAATCAGCAAAATCACGCACATTCTCAAGGGCATAACTTAGTGTATACAGCTACGCATCAGGTTCCCCAAAGTTATCAGTCATCTTTACAAACTGTTTCACAAATTGCTCCACAGCTTGATTCGCGCAGGGCAAGCAGCAAATTGCAGATTCCTACAAATCCTAGAATTGCTTCAAATTTGGGCTTGGGTTTTCCAAAAGTAGAGAAGGATATTTCTGCAAGCACTGCAGCTTCAAAGCCTGCCTACATTAGTGTTTCACTGACAAAGCCAAATGAGAAAGTGCCATCTGAAGATGCTGCTGAGTCTATACTAAAGGTACAATTTGCTTCCCTCTGGTGGTCATTTATAATTTCTCATTTCCTGTTGCATAAATACATTTCTAAACTGTACACTTGATATATGGTTTCATGTTCAATCAGATTTATATTTTACTGCTGCATTTTAGGCACTTGAAATATTGTAACTATCTAAAGATCATCCTATGAACTAGCTTTATCTGTACATAGGTTTATGTGTTTGTCTTTTTTACTTGTTTGGAATTCAACTGTTGCTTGACCTCCTTCTAAAGTTATGGAGTGGTGTTGGACTTTGAATTTCCATTTCAATTGTAGCTGATTTACTTTTTAGTTGCAAAAGGCAAAAGGTGTCCCTTGTTTGAGCAAATACCACTGGACATATTTTACGCAAGGATGTCAGTAGGCAGTCTTGGCTTGTTTCTTCTGCTCTGCAATGTTGATGCGTACTTCTAGTTACGCACTTGTTAATTTTGATATCATATTTCTTAGGTGGACATCTTACTAGTCCTCTTCCTCCTATATCTAGTTAGTCAAATTTTGTATTTAACGTTTTTAGATGAGTTTTGGTTCACCTTATGGTTGTAGTATTGAGGTTGCCATCGAACTTACTGAACCCATTTGTTGGGCTCTTGAACGTCTAGCATCATACGAGTTCAAATTTGACTTATTTTGTACTTTCTATGAATGTGCATTCAGTTTCTGCATTTTGAATGCATGTTCATATTTACAGTATCTGTGGGTGGCATTAACTGATCTCCATGTTTTATTTTTTATTTTTAAATTGATCTCTATTTTTGTTATTTGTAGCCTGGCATGTTTCCAAAGTCACTGTGTGGTTATGTCGAAAGGGCTTTGGCTCGCTGCAAAGGTGATGCACAAATGGTGGCTTCTCAAGCTGTCATGAAAGAGGTAAGCAAAGTGTACTGATGTTGCTTTTGCTGTGTCATTAGGGATGTCCATATTTGGTAGTAGACAAACTGCAAAAAATCCTCGAGTCATCTCGAATGGATTAGGGAGCAGTGGTTTTTGATCTTTCTGTGCCAATCTTCATAGGTTCTAAATTATAGTCATCTGGTGAAGAAAGTATGTGCTTTTGTGTGAATTGTATTTCTGTTTTAATATTTTTTTGTCAGATGTGATAGATGGAGATCAACTACCAACTTCAATTTATCCTTTTCCTTCTTTTGTTTTCTTTGGTAAATGCCATAGATTGCTCTCTCTCTCTCTCTCTCTCTCTCGTGCGTGTGTATAAGTTTAGAGTTCATTTGCAAAGTTGACTTGTTCATATTGCACATACTGTTGGGTTGCTGTTGGCGTTAGTATGTGCACTCCTGTATATGCTGGTTTCTGGTTATAGAGTTTACTTATGATGTGGGAAGACTTCTGCTTTCACCTTTTCATGGAAATCTTAGTTCTATGTCATTCACAGTTTACTACAGCTGCCAATTGTTTAAGTTTTATTTTTTGTTATGCATTTTGTTTGTTACAATGCAGTTCTTTGTTTCTACTTTTCTCTTGTGCTGTTTACTTATCTCTTATATGTTACTGCACTTGTTAGATTATCATGAAGGCAACCGCTGATGGTACTCTACATACAAGAGATTGGGATACAGAGCCTCTTTTCCCCCTGCCGAATGCAGATGCTGCTAATCAAGAGTATCTCCCTCTTCCTCTCTCTGCCCCCTTCCTCCCTTCTGCTTTCTACCTTGAGCATCCATGATAAATAAGAAGAAAACATTCAACATTTTATGATCTTGTTAATAGTGTCACATGCCCAACACAATTTGTTGAGATATGTAAGGCAACATACTTTTCTTTTGTAAATGCTGACATTGTTATTAATATAAGTACTCATCAACAAGAATTACCACATGTAAATCTTGATTCAGGTGTTTTGAGTGTGGAAGCTCCCAATACTTCAATTTCCTTGGTCCCAATACTTTTTTCTTTTGGCTATAAGTCGTATATGAGGAAAACTGTCTTAAATGTCGTATTTTGTGAAGTTATTCCTTTGGTATTTTTTTTCTTGGCACTGGTCAATGGAACCCCCCCCCCCCTCTTTTTCTTTATGTTAGATTCTAAAAGATGCTAAATAATTTAATGCAATTTTTATCCTTTAGCATTACAAGAATGAAAAGAGTGTAGTTGTGGAGTAAAGATTGACTTCATTTTGTCTCGTTGAATGCAGACATATACTGTTCTCAACTCCCATTTCTTCATTACCAAAAAGCAGAAGTCCTAGTAGACGATCCAAAAGTAGGTGGGAACCTATATCAGAAGAGAAAGTGGCTGACAAGCCTCCTGCTGCTGCTGCCCGTGAACCTGTAAAATATGGTTTTTGGAACAAACAGGTATCTGGTTTAATCTAATTTCAGTGGAAAACCAAGAATTTCCTTGGTAGTTTTACCATTGAATTTGATTTTCTAGCTTGTCAAGCCTTCGTTCTCTCACATAGGTGGCAAAAAACCAAGTCAAGGTGATTGAATGTGGGTTTAACGTCTCTTTTCTTATTTCAGCCGGAAAATAAGTAGAATTTGTGTTCAATGAATTGGAGTTTTGGTAGGTCTAGAAAATAGTGTATTGTTATGAGTTAGTTGTTCTATGATTCTCACTTTTAAGTTCATGCACAGCACTATACAGTTGGAAAAACAGAGAACAAGGTGGATAACTGGAGTAATACCAAATTTTCTTTACCAGAACAGAAAAGCTCCAACAAAAATTCTTTCAGGCCAGCTAAGAAGCAACGTCTTGTTGATGGTCTAAGTGCAGCTGATAATGGTGATGAATCAAGTGAGAGTGATAAGGAACAAACTTTAACAGCATATTATTCTGCTGCTGTAGCACTTGCTGATTCACCAGAGGAAAGAAAGAGACGTGAAAGTCGATCAAAACGTTTTGAAAAGGGACATGGAAACCGAGCAGAAATTAATCATTTTAGGCAGAAAAGTGCTGGTGCTGGCAATCTATATACTAGACGAGCTAGTGCATTGGTGCATAGCAGAAACTTTGAGGACAGTGGCACCAAGGCTGTTGAAGATATTGACTGGGATGCTCTTACTGTCAAAGGGACCTCTCAGGAAATTGAGAAACGTTATCTGCGCCTTACTTCGGCTCCTGATCCTGTCACGGTAAATGTTTTGTCTGTGCCTGTGGTCGTTTACGATTGAATTGTTGGCTTAGACTAACTTGAGCTGCTTGTCTTGAATAATAAAATCTTGCAGGTAAGACCAGAAGAGGTCTTGGAAAAAGCCCTGCTTATGGTGCAAAATTCTGAAAAGAATTACCTTTATAAGTGCGATCAGTTAAAATCCATTCGGCAAGACTTGACTGTACAGCATATACGCAATGAGTTAACTGTAAAGGTATATAATTTTTTGTTAAGAATGTGTCTCAGGATTTCTTACAAACATATCAATGTCAAACTTGGCTGGGAATCTTGTTAGTCGGTCATTTTGGGTGAGTAGAGATGTTGAGTATGACTACTTTCTTTACAATATTCATGGCATCACCCCCTCTTTCAGGTTTATGAAACTCATGCTCGTTTAGCAATTGAAGTTGGGGATCTGCCAGAGTTTAATCAGGTCTGTTTTTAATTTGGAATTAACCCAGCTTGAGAACTTCTAGTTTGGAATGCTTCATAAATAGTTTATTCTAGTCTAATTCTGTTATTCTTTTATGCATCTGGAGATTTTGGTATGTTGTTTAATGTATGGTGGCTATTACCTAAGACCAGTAGGCATTCAATTTGTTGTGTAACCTATTCTGCTACGAATTAGTGATGTGTCTGTTGTGATGCTAATTTACATGCACAGCATAATCACATTTATGGGTTACAAGCTATGTTTCTGATAAATAAGGGATAACAAGAATTGGAGATGCCTTGCTTGATCAACATGAGAAACCTAATGTGGAAAAATAAGTGTGGTACTATGGCTTATATGTACTAATTTATTATGCGTACTTGTTATTATCTGTCAATCCAATTTTTTTAAATTAAGTTTTTTGAAAGATAGTTTTATTTTTTTGTTCCAAAAAAAAGGGGTTTTATTGTCTGCATTTGTAGCTCTCTTATAATGCATAGACGACACGGTGGTGGAGTTTAAGATGCACTTTTAGTTGTGTTTAATTTCTATTTCTGCCCAAGCAGCATTCTTCGTGTAGCATGGATTAAACTTCATGTTTCTTCATTTTGTTGGAGTGACTATTTGTTGCATGGATTGACATTCTTGATCTGGTTATGCAGTGCCAATCCCAGTTGAAAACGCTTTATGCTGAAGGAATCAGTGGATGCCATTTGGAGTTTGCTGCATACAATTTACTCTGTGTAATCCTGCACTCTAACAATAACAGAGATCTCCTGTCTGTGATGTCAAGGTTGTTAGCTAAATCTGGAATTAGTCGTTCACAGATTAGTTGTCTTTTTTCCGATTACTGTTCTCAGATTAACTGTACCCATAGGATCTTTATCAAGAGACACACCACCTACTTCCAACAGTGCTCAGCCCTCCCTTTTTTACATTCTTACTCAGAGAGGAGCTATCTGCTGAATCTTGCTGGCTCTTATTTTACTGTGTCTCCCTCTAGTAGCATTGCCTGAAAGGCTTATTGGTTTCTGTTAACTTAGGTCAATTTAGCTGTCGGTGATGTTGCTTATTTTAGACTTTGGAATTGTAAATCTTTCATAATTTCAAAGTACGACATACTTCTAAACAATATCGTTTTCGCTATGTACTTGCATCCTGCTGGAGCTATTCTGTATAGTCATGTCAAATATTCATTTTGACAGTAGAAACTGGATTGAATCCGCATTGTGCATGAGCTTTTATCAACTGTAAATCATGTTAGACTGTATGCTTCCAGATTAGATCATGTTCATGCAGTGGATACAATTGTACTGAAGTGTTCATAATTAGTGTGCCTAGAGAAGTTTATCACTAGTTTTATTTTTATTTTGCAAGATGAGTTTTGAATGTTTTTGACGTAACATTGATTGCACAGATTATCAGCTGATGCTAGGAAAAATGATGCTGTGAAACACGCTCTTGCAGTTCGTTCAGCAGTGACTTCAGGGAATTATGTTCTGTTTTTCAGGCTATACAAAACAGCTCCCAACCTTAGTACTCTTCTCATGGGTGGGTAGAATTCAAGTCATCATGCTTATTTCACTTCTCCTTATTGTCCATTCTTATTACCTAACACGATGAGTTCATTATACTTGGTGAACTGCAGATCTTTATGTTGAAAAGATGCGATATGCAGCAGTAAAGTGTATGTCTCGTTCATATCGTCCTACTATTCCCGTCGCATACATTTCTCAGGTTCTGGGCTTCGGTAATGTCTCGCCCACAACTGAAGCAAGTGATGAGAAGGAAAGAGATGGAGTTGAAGAATGTGCAGAATGGTTGAAGGCTCATGGTGCATGCCTATCTAATGATAATGCTGGGGAGATGCTTCTTGACACAAAGGTATGTCTTTTCCCTCTCCTAGTGCATGAAAGACTTGATACCTGTTATGGGCTGGGAAGGGGGGAAATAATCGAGCCAAAAGAGTCCTGGTTATGTTTTTAAATTGGACAGCTTTTCTCCTTTCTGGTTCATTTCTGTTTGAAGCTATACTATTTAATTGGTCTTTGAATGTTCAGGTATCTATGTCAAGCCTCTACATGCCAGAACCTGAGGATGCCGTGAGCCATGGAGATGCTAATCTTGCAGTTGACGATTTTTGGGCACGGAATCCTGTATAAGTTGGTATGGTTAAGTGAAAGAGTCGTCTGAAGGTCCTGTCTGGGGGGAATCTGATTAAGCCATCACAGAGATCAGTTCCAAGAAATTTTGCTTGGAGATTTGCGCAGGGCAGCTGTTCAATTAGCGGGGATGTGGACTTCTGTTATATCAACTGTATGTTGTGAGATATTATGAATTGAAAGGGAAAGGAAATGTGAGTTCCCATTGAAGTGCTTCTCCCAGTGTACTGATGGGATGCACTTGTACTTCCAACTCATTAATAGATATCAGTGTCTCGAAAGAAATTACCATTCTTTCCAGGGATGATAGAGAACTATACAAATGTATATTGGAAGGGAAAATGAAATAAGCAATAGTAACGTTTACACTGTAGGTTTGGACCTAGAGTCAGGAAGATGGCATGAGGAGCCTGACTTGTTTGTATGATGGCTATTGAATATCATCAATTTTGGCGGTTCACCACTGGACTTGATTTTTCCGGCCTCTTGAGCTTCCACTTTCAAGGATTCTTATATAAATATTTGTTAAAACTCCGTCTATTAATTGTTTGGTGGCTTAACATGTTGTAGCTATTTTCTTTGCTTTGAAGCAAATGATGTGCTTTGCTACCGCGCATGCTCTTATTGTTACTACTGTTTTCCTCCTTTACATCGTGTGCATGCTTGCATTACCTGATGGTTATTAAGAGTCACAGAGGAACTGATTGTTTGCATCTTATTATTGCGTTGTTGCAGGTGCTCAGCAAATGCTAAGATTTCTTGCACTCTGATTTTTGCATCTCGCTATTGCGTTTCAGACGTTTAGTAAGTGCTAAAATTACTTGCGCACGGTAAATAATTAACCAGACAGTAGGTTGTTACTAATGATAGATTAGCTTCTTCATTACTCCTATTTACTTCGTCAATTTGAATTTGACTCTTGTAGTTATCCTTGTCATCTCATTTAAAATGTTTTTTCATGGGTTTTAGCCTTTGAATGTTTGCGAAGTCCCATGGTCTAAGTGATTTTGGAAAAGCTCGATGAAAGTAATCATCTAAAACCTTGATTATAGCCTCCGTTTGAGATGTCCAAATGCCCTTTCCTAAAAACTTAAAATTTTATTCATTTACCATCTAGTTTTACCCTCAATAAATTAATTCCATATTTACGTCCAAATTCAACAATCATTCGAGGCTACAAATGTAAAGAGAGAAAAAGATTATTGAATCTTCAAAATCTCTATGCGTCCATGCCACTTTAGTGGGCCGGAGAAAACAAATTATTATCCGGCCTAGGAGCCCACAAAGTCATCGGATTGTTTTTTCATTTTTATTGACGTTTTGAGATTTTTTTTTTTTTTTTTTGGCCGGTTAGCTTTCCTTTTTTCTTTTCCTTTCTCGGGGAAAGGGGAAAAAAAAAAGGATAAAAAGAATGCTAATAAGCATGGTGAAAGAAAGGAAGTCCCAGTAGAAGTAGTTGAAAATAGCCAACACATATAAATTCAAGAACGCAAAAAGATTCAGAATTTTACATGCTTACAATTACCAACCCTTCTGAATATTAACTTTGTCAGTGTTCATTTGTCAGCAGAAGAGGAGGAGGAAGAAGCTGATGACTGGGTCTGAGGCCAAACACTTACTTTCTCTTTCTCGTGCTTAACGTACAATGCCGAAGCCGCCGCCATGAAATAAACCTGAATTAGAATTATAGCCGGCGAATGGTACTTTATCACCCCCTGACCCGTTGCCAGCTCCACCAGAATCAAGGCGGTTAGACCAATAAGAGCAATTCGCCCGTTAACCCGCTCCGAGTACGGGCTGAACCCGAATTCCACATTCAGCCCTTCTGAGACCGCCTCCTTCAGGGGCACCGGCGGGAGGTACATCCCGGAACCGGAGCTTGAGCTTGAGGCTCCCTTTTTGCCCTTCCGGGTCTTCCGGACCTCCGCTTTCTTTCCGGTTCCGCTTTTGTAGCGGAGCCGGACTTGGGAGAGGCGGTTCTCGAAGACGTCTGAGTCGGAGCCCGAAGATTCTGTTTGGGTCTGGTCAGTTTCGTCGGAGGAGGAGTCATCGGAAGTGGCCCGAGTGATGATGGTGAAGGAATGGCTGGGAGGCGCGTGGAGTTTGAGTAAAGAGCAAGTGCGTGGGGATGATGATGATGATTGAAATAAGGGATTTGGGTTAGAGAGTTGGAAAGTAGAGGATGGCAATGTCGCCATTTGTGCTTCCCTTTCTTTGGTTTCTTGGATAAGGGGAGTATCCTTCTTTCAGTCTTCTCTTTTGCATTTTTGCCTTGAAAACTTTTTCTTTTTTATTTTTTCCCTTTTGAAAAATAAATCCCTTGGAAAAGGGAAAAATTTTAAAAAAAAACTATGGTGGAATGTGCAACCGTGGCAGTAGGCAGCATTATGTGTTCTAATATCAACCATAAGTTAGCCTTAAATGTTTGACAAAAAAAAAGAAAAAAGTTAGCCTTAAATAGGAGGAGGAAAAGAAAACCCATTTTTTCCTTTGGACAAAACAAAAAAATAGCTTTGAAACTCTTCGAAAATTTGTCACAATTGAGGAAATTCGCATTTTATTTCTAAAATGATACTAATGGCTTTGACTTATCCTGAACTCTCATTTTCCTTCTCATATTTTTCTACTCTGCATTTACAATTTTAACTACGGACCTTTCTTTCCATGCTACTTGTGAGGGTGATATTTTGTAGCTACAATCAGGTATTCCTATTAAATATTGCTAGCATACAGAAAAAAAAAATAGCACATTATTAAATTCGAAGAACAATTATTGTCATTCAAGAACAACTTTTAAGTAGGCAAAACCATTTGCAATTTTTCAGCCAGCCCTTCCAAACTGTTAGGAGTAATGTTTTACATCCAGCCCTAAAATTTTTATACTTGTTCCTAGCTGTCGTGGTGGATAGAAGAAACTGTTACTACTATTAGTTTTGTTGCATGATGTCTGTTAAGAAACATATATATATATATATATACACACACACACACACACACACACACACACACAAAGTCTGAAAAGATTGTGGAAGATACGAATTTCAGGAAAGTTTGCCCTATTAAGCTTGTCACTAACCTTGCACGGTTCGTTTCCCTCACCAAATTATGGTACATTTTTTGCTAACACGATGTTGCATTTTGTGCACCCTGCTTAAAATATGTAATTTGCTACTGACCATTCACCAATTAATCTCTAGTTTTATGCTAAATACCATGCAACTAATAACATTACCTGTCGCTGGCATGATTCAATCAAAGAAGTCAAAGTTTTTTTTAAAAAAAAAAAAAAAAAAAAGAATCAAAGCATGTTTTTGGAGAGAACCCGGAAGTGTAAAATTTGTTTACCAAGTACAGGCAGCTAAATCATTTTTCTCTTCAAAGATTGTGAAAACAGAAAACTCTTCTGGGGTGATTTGTTAGAGAATCATTTACTATTAACTGGTCTATGACATACGAATAAACGATATCCTAAGCACGCATAAACTTTAAGGCACGAACACATTCATTAGACAGTTTTCTTCTTTTTCTTTTTGGAAACTAGGTTGAAATACTAGCAGTTGAGGTGCTTAGTCCCTGTTTTAACTTTCAAAAGGTGTAAAATATCACATATGAATATGTGAGAGTTCATTTTCCCATCTTAGAAAATCCAGCTTTTAATGAGTTTGGAAGGTTTTAAAATTGCAGGTTCATGATACAGATGGGAATGCATGGGGGAATTTTCTGTCCCTTCGGAATCCCAATTCTGGAAATCTCATTTTTTCATACATATATATAAGCTCTTTCATGTCGATAATTATATTCTCTTTCCCGAGCAGAAAAGGCTAGATTAATTCCCTCTCACGCATTGACATTTTACCATGACCGCTGATATGTGGCTCCTTCCCTGTGCATGAGCCTTCAAAAGACAAATAATCGTCCACAACCTAGACTCCAGCTCATACTACTTGAATCCTCTGATCATCTGTTCTCAGAAAAGAAGCTTCACATGCTATGGACAGTTGATACACAATCAATCACTGATTCACTTTGCCATGCCTTTGACTTCTACAACTTAAGATTTGAGAGAATAAAGAAGCACCAAGGCCTTGCAGCAGGTGGTAGAAGAAGAGTATCCCTTCAGTCTCAAGTCTCAACTAGTAGCTAGCCTTGACCAATGGCGCAGATGGAACCTGCTACCACCTCCACTGCCTGTGCATCACCAACTCCCCTTTTGGCGAGCTTTGGTGATCCAGAGGGGGAGGACAACGGCCAGGCAATTGCAGCTCACCTTGCCGTCGAAATTAGGAACCCCAACATCCAAAATCAGGCTTATCCTCTCACTCTCTTTCAGTAACCTCTCCTACAGTGTCAAAATAAGCCATAAACTCAACTGGTCGAGCATCATCCCCTGCAGCAATAAGAGCAACCACCCTTCTGAGGAGCCAGTGACAAAAGTTCTGCTAAATGATATCTCTGGTGAGGCACATAATGGTGAAATCTTGGCAGTTCTAGGTCCCTCGGGGTCAGGAAAATCAACCGTGATTGATGCATTGGCTAATCGGATATCGGTAGGAAGCTTAAAAGGAAAGATCACTCTCAATGGCGAACAAATGGATCCGAAATTACTCAAAGCCATCTCTGCCTACGTTATGCAAGATGACCTCCTTCTGCCAATGCTCACTGTTGAAGAAACCTTGATGTTTGCAGCTGAGTTGAGGCTCCCTCAATATCTCTCCAAATCCAAAAAGATAAAAAGAGTTCACAACTTGATCGATCAATTAGACCTTCGGAAAGCAGTTCGAACCGTTACTGGAGATGAAGGGCATCGGGGAGTATCTGGTGGAGAACGTCGCCGAGTTTCCATTGGAATCGAGATCATACACAATCCTATTCTTTTATTTCTTGATGAGCCCACCACAGGGCTTGACTCAACTAGTGCTTTCATGGTGGTGAAGGTTTTACAGCGCATTGCTCAGAGTGGAAGCATTCTAATCATGTCTATACACCAGCCAAGTTTTCGAATTCTTGGCCTATTGGACCGTTTGTTATTCTTGTCTCGTGGACAAGTAGTCTACGGTGGCTCTCCATCCAATTTGCCTTTGTTTATGGAGAATTTTGGGCATCCAATACCTGCGGATAAGAACCCTTCAGAAGCTATTTTGGATCTCATTTGCGATCTTGAATATTCTGCTGATGGGATTAGCAACATGGTCCAATTCAATCAGATATGGCAAAAACAAAACCTGAGCATAGGAATAGTACCAGAAGTGGAACCATCTGGTGTCACGCATGGATTGACATTGAAGGAAGCAATCAAGTCGTGCATTTCACGAGGCAAATTGGAGTCCAGGACAACCAACAAAGATGGTATTACTCCTCGTGTTGAGATCCCAAAATATGCTAATTCCTTTTGGACTGCAGTCTGTGTTATCAAAACGATCATTCCTCAATTCCTGTCGAATGCCAGAGGTTTTTGCTAGTCGATTCGGAGCAAACCTGATTACAGGATTTATTGTGGCATCATTGTTTTGGCAACTTGATAATTCGCCCAGAGGATATCAAGAAAGAGTAGCATTTTTGTCATTTGTGACAACTACAGTCTATTACATTTGTGCCGATGGATTGGCGGTTATACTCCAGGAGAGGAACATAATGCTAAGGGAAACAAATTACAACGTCTACAGACTATGCTCCTATTGGTTCTCTGACGCATTAACCTGGATTCCGTCGCTCTTATTCCTCTCAATTACATTTTCCATCACTACATTTTGGGGACCCGGTCTCCAAGGTGGATTCACGGGGTTCTCCATCTATTTCCTAGTCATCTTGGCTTCATTTTGGGGGGCGAATTCATTCGTTCTTTTTCTGTCAGGATTGCTTCCTGATATAAGCCGTGTATACATTGTTATCGTCTCGACTCTGGGTTCCTTTGCTCTCTTCTGTGGGATATACGCAACTCGCGATCAAATCCCATCCTACTGGATTTGGTTCCACTAATCCCTCAAGAAGTATACTTATGAGGCAATAATGCATAATGAATTCGATGATCCCAGAAGATGTATTGTTAGAGCAATTGAAGTTTTTGATGAAACTCCCCTTGGCACATTTCCGGTTGGATTGAAACAGCAGCTGTTGAGCGGCATGGGTGAAGCCTTGGGCATGAGTATTACAAGCTCGACGTGCATGGCGACTGGACCAGACCTACTGAAGCAGAGGGATGGCTGATCTTGGAAAGTGGGAATGCTTTTGGATCACCATTGCTTGGGGATTCTTCTTTAGGATGTTGTATTACTACTTTACTTTGTTGTTTGGCAATAAGAATAAAAGAAAGTAATTAATTGACTCCTATGAAAATGTAACACAATGTCATGATCATTATATTATATGGCGTCCTGATGTTGCAGGGGAACACCTTAATTACTTTCTTACTTGCTTTCTCTGTGATGTGTGTAATGCCTACTGAACCCTTCCATCACCATGATCTTGTCATCATACTACTATGATACCGAGATGGAAGTATGTGAACAAGATATATAGGTCATTGTTGAAACGGCGGCTTTGCTGCATCTGCTATGGAAATTGAGAGGCAGAGTATGAAATGCTTTCCTTGCCTAATTTAGTAAAGTGGTACCATTTATTTCTAATTCTTTTGACAAGTAGTGTTACTATTGATAGTAGTTCTTACACCATCATAAAAGTTTAAACCATAAGGAAGCAATTAATGTAGTGAATTGGTCAAGTACATTGGAGTATACACGGTAAACAAACCTATTTAACTAGATTTGCCCATATCCGCCCATAAATAGATAGATATGAATATCTTAAACTTTTGCATATGGATATTATTAAGTAACCCAATTAACTCATTTAGAATTATCTTCCCTCAAATCTCCTCTCTTCCCCCACCCATTTTTTTTGGTCAGATTCTTCATTTTGTCATGATGTTAACTATTTTTGTTTCATTATTATTATTATTTGTTAGTTTTATCTTATTATTTTATTTTCTCTTAGTTTGTTAACTTACTCATTTTTCAGCATTACTAATTTATGACAAGTTTTAGTTTTTTTTCCTACCTTTTTAAAATAAAATTTTAAATTTACATACAAAAATATGCTAGGGGTTCAAAATTTTTGGATTAAGTTTTATGCTAACTTTTATAATACTTAGTTCAAATTTTTATATTCTTATTGTTCAATTATCAAATAGTATGTAAATTTGCGACATATGGTACGGATGGGAAAAAAATTGGTAATTAGGCTTATTGTACATTATAAGTAAATATTTAAAACTAATGATGGGTGCAAAGGGTGGTATAAATTGATAACTTAGTTTACAAAAATGAATTTATATGAGTTTACAAAAAGTTAGAATAAATGGGTTATAAATGGATGATTTGATTACCCAATTCATTTTTTAACTTACCCATTTATACCCATCTAATTAAATGGATATAAATGGGTTGACTCACTTATACCCATTACCCATATTAATCAACCCAAATCCGTCCAAATCACCCATTTTGACACCTCTACATTGGAGTGATTTCTATACATTTATTTCTAGACTAGATCTACTGAAAATCGGGAAAAAAAAAAAAAGATGGCAGAACAGGAAAAATGGAAAAAGTAAAACTAATCTAAAAGAGACTACTAGTATTAATCAATTGTTGAGCCCACCCAAATGTCAAAACCCCAAGCATTTGTGACCATCGTCACTGAACGGATTAAGCCCACCAGCCCAATGACAATACCCACACACCACTCCAACCCAACGGCACCTCCACTCTCCACCAGGCCCCCTGGCTTCCCCGCCGCGATAACCTTCTGCTTCGCCTTCTCCACCATTTGACCCGTGATTTTGGCTGCTGGCGGCTCCCGGTGGTGTTGAAAAATTGTGTTATTGTCTTTGACGAGGTAATGGAAAAGTGCGGCGTATTCTTCTGAGTAGAGGAAAGCTAAATTTTCAGTTTCATTTTTCAAGGAAGTCGTAATCGTGGATTTGGTTGGACTTTTTAGTTTGCGGGGAAAAGAAGTTTACAGGTAATTGAAATGAATAAGCTAATAGAGTTCGGGAGGAAAGCGATGTTCTATGTTAGGGTCCTTTCGGGCTACGAGGAGCGACGAATTCGATCTTACCGGTTGCAGCTTCAACAACGCCTCCAAAAGGTACCTTTCCTCTCCCTCCAGCTTGTTACAGTTTTGATTTGATTCTTCCTTTTTTTTTTCGGGTGCTGTTAATTAAGAAAAATGTGGTAGATAATTGTTAGAAATGTGCAGACATTTTGGTAGTCACCTTCTTTACGAATCTGTTGTCTAAAAGGGAAATTCGAAAGTTGTTAGCTTATTTGATGGTCCACTGCTACAAGAATGTGCTGTTGGAGCACTTTAGGAACATGATTAATGTGCTTAAATATGGACCCATCACTGCTCATGTGCTTAAATGTGGATGTCCTGGTGCTCAGCAGGCTGCTGCATCAGCAATCTGTAAAATTTGTGACTCCCATGTACTGGAAAATTTCCGTTAACGAGGCTGGTAGAGTTCATTGCTCAAAAACCACAGAGGGTGAAGATTATAACAGATTTTAGAATAAGTAGCTCCACAAACATTAAAATTTGATTCAGTGTAGCTGGTTGGATCCTCTGCTTGTTAAGATATTGTAAGCTAGAGCAAACATGACAAATCATGTTGTGGAACAAGCAGTTTCTAAGCACCACGGCCTCAAAATACTGCCACGAATTTTACATTCTTTGTCTTGCCTTGCTCTCCTAGAGCAAAAAAGGTAAGAAACTTTGATTTAATGTGGCGATTGGTTATTTGAAAGCTTAGTGAAATGGGCATTGTGGTGGCTGATAAGCTACTTGAGCATTGGAAGATACAGAAGTTGAAAAGCTTCTTATCAAAAAGTAGAATGGAAATGCAACATCCATGCCCAGGGAATTGTGTTTTGATATGCAGTGAAATTTACTAGCTTGAAGATGAATGCAATTGTTGTTTTTCATAGATATATAAATGTATATGTCATCATGGGTATCACTTTACTGTGTGGTTAGTGCCTTATCCAAGTAATCATGAGGTTGTGTTTATTTGATCTTAAGCATGTAGTACCTGGTTTTATAGTCAGTGATGGATACTTCAGCGGTTCCATTTTGGTGGAAACTTTGATAGGCAGCGCAAATGAGGTAGCAATAGCATGTGGTGAGAACCTTTGCTATGAAGTTACTTTTTGAATATATGATTTTCAGCTCTGCCAAATTTGCTTATGGAGTGCCCAAAATACGTTTTCCATGTTTACAGTATATGTGCTTTCAGAATTTCCTTTGCTTCAGGGATGGTTGTTTGTGGAATCCTCCTTTAGTCTTTAATTAATATGTCCCTTGTCGCATTTGGAGCAGGCCCAAGAAAGGAAGGAAGCTTTGAAACAGGTTCCTGAGCAAATAATTTTGTCTGAAGTCAAGCGAATGGTGGAAGATATGCAGGCATTGAATAAGAAGCTTGAAGAAACAGTGAGTTCTTTTCTCAACACCCTTTTTGTACTTAGTTTAACCATGACAATAATAGCATGGTTATAACGACATTATTGGCAGCACCCTTTTCCCTTGGTTTATTCTCCTCCACATTTTTATATGCCCCCCTTGTTTTGTGACATCTTTTTACTTGATTATCTTTTGATTATTGCAGGAGGCTGCCATTGAAGATTATTTCAAGCCAATCGACAAACAGGCAGATATTATCATGAAAATGCAGCTCGAAGGAGAAGAGAGAAAAATGAAGGATATGATGCGTGCCATGCAACAGCAGGCTTTACTAGAGAAGGCTGAAGCCGAAAAAACTGCACCTGGTCAAACTACAGACATAAATCAACAAACGGAGGAGAAACAGCCTGCAAAACCATCTCATGCTGAACTGAGATGATTTGATATGCCTCTTTTGTAATTTCTTTAATAGACTTAAAAGTAAAAGTTTTTGGCCTCCTTTTTCAAATCTCTGTCGCCTGCTTGTATATTTTTATATGAATTGGCTGTGGTATTTAAAAAAGAAAGAAAGAAAGAAAGAGATTTTCATTACCCAGCTTGAATAATATAGGTGCCTATCTTGTGTACCGTTGATGTTAGAACCCTTAAAGAACAATTACTCATTAGTATGAACTGCACGTTATTCCTCGCTTAAAATGATCGATCTTGTTCAGTGTGGGATTGATGAATACAATTTCTGGTTCCTGACCTGATTATGTCGTTGTTACCTTGTCATTGATCTTCACATCGGTGTATTATGAGTAATCATGCCTCATGGTCTCGTGTTTTAGTGTTCAAGCTCAAGCAATTGTGTTGGCAGCAGCGCAGTGTGTTCTGCATCTCCACACTGGATATGTATGCTCATCATTGTTCTCGACTTACTTTAAAAACCTGTTTGAACTGCTATTTTTACGACATTTTGTAGGAAAATGTATTATAGCGATTTGATGTATGTGAGGTAAAAAAAATGATTGATTTGATATATGTGAGATAAAAAAGTGATTGAAAAATGTGTTCACGGAAATGTAAAAAAAATTTTGGCAGAAAATCACAATCTAAACTTGTATATCATGACGCAGACATAATCCTATTTGATATAATTTCATCTCGAATCGTCTTCAATACATTAGCTGTGGACTCACAGAATTACGGTGCCATGGAACTCACTCTAGCTCTCGCATTTTATTCATATGCTACAGAGCTAAGAACTTGCAGCAAAAACAAATAAATTTTGACAAATAACTCACTATTCAAACAAACCAATATACTACTATTTGTGGAAGATTATCTCCAGATAAGAATCCAAAAAAAAATAAAAATAATCGTAAGCAGTTTTATGGTGCCATGATGTTGGAGTTTATTCCTTCCTATATGGTTAGAATTTGGACCTTGTGCAGTTTATTCCTTCCTATATGGTTGGAATTTGGACCTTGTATTTTGCAAAAACACAATGATTAATATGGCTATGACTTGTGAATCAGTGCCATCTAGGCATCTCCTAGGTTAATGGTTTGCAAATTGCTCCTTCATATACTAATAATCATACGTGAGGAATGATGATACATTAGATTATCACAAAGTATCTAATTCGCTGACATAGAAAACATGGAGAAATTTTCGGTTCGTGAATTGGCAAGAATGGGTAGAGATGGACTGCAAAAATATGGTATGTTTGTTCCGGAGGAGGAGAATATCCGTTAGTAACATGTTTCGAAACCAAAGTATCGTAACAACCAATAATTTCGCCAACGGATGAGTATGCAGCTGTCTGGACCAGTGGTAGTTTAGTTTCCGAATTTTTCCCTTGACCCTTTGGATTCTCCCCCGGCCCCCAGTGCAGAGTAAGAGTAGGTCTCGAACACCACCAAATTTCTAGCAAGTTAGATTGTGAATCAAATACAGGTACATATACCTAGACCTAGTACCAAATTTATCGATAATCCATTTAGATTGTGAATCTAAATATACTGCATGAATCCCTTATTCCGTCGTATAAATTGTAATAAAGCTATGAGCTAATGATATTTAGGGATAGTTGGCAAACTGTACCATATGTTCAGTTGGCAGTACAATCAAGCTAATAAATGAAGTGAGAAATTGTAAGTATCATCGATTCGTGCGGCATAACAATCAGCAACTTGAGGTGAATTTTCGGCTTAGAAAAGTAGAGCTGCTGCTGGGTCTGTTTTTGTTTCCCTTTTGCTGAATGGGACTACATTAATTGCAGTTGAGAGTTGGGACTTAAGACGGATTGAAATATATGGAATGGGTAATCAATCATTTTCCGAATTGAAGGAAGCAACCAAAAAGCACGGGTTGCAAGAATTTAGTCTTAGTCGAACTACCTCTTGACCTCTTTTACTACTCGTCATTACTCAGATGACAGCTACCGGCACTATAGTCAAATCCCCACTGCTCTAATCACTAAGGCAAGACGTCAAGGTTCAAAGCTGATCGTCCCTTCGTTTTCCCAAGAACAAAAGGATCGAGAAAAATGAATACCTAAAGAATTTGTCAACGATCCATTCGTAGTTTTCATATTTAATAAAGATTTTTCTTACTGATAAGGATGAATACTTGGATCTATTCCAAAATGCAAAGAAACTTTGTTAATTGTTTAAAATTTTTATTTTGCTGTAGAATTTGGCCGACGCGGCTAACCCCTTTTTGGGTTTGACAAAAAATCTTCACAACTGAGGTTAAAGAAGAGACTTGGGAGGCTTGAAGCCTTGAACAAACCCTGAAATGAAATCTGGGTGTGGACCGTCGGAGGTGTCCTTTTCCCAAAACCTCAAATCACCATCCCGGGCCATTTTTTCCCTTGTTCACGAAACAGCTATAGAAACATTCAGCGCTTCCATGACATGCAAATTAAACAATAGGTCAGCAAATATTTACCACCTAATCTTCAGCATGAAATCCACCAGAAAGCTTTATAAAACTGGCATTATTAATCACTCAAGAAGCTACAATTATACAGTACAACTGTTGTTTTCAATCATTTTCCTTTTGCAGTAAAATGTGATTGATTATCTAGATTGGTCAGCAGTTGAGTTAAAGCTTAACCAATCCTAATTTATGAATGTTTTTCTAGCGTGTGAGTTTTATAAATTGATTTTTTTTTACAATGACATTGTATGCATTAGCGAGTCTAAAATCTAAATGGGGTACCTATAATTATCATAAGAAACCTCATTGGAGGTTAGTGTAGCTCCACTATTTTTGGTTTTTCTTTGCGGGTTACAATTCTATAAAGAGTTGTAGTACGAGAAGAGGTAGTACAAGAAGAGGGAAAGCGCTTTGGTTGGCAGAAATTTTGCTAATTCCTACACGAAATTGCACCCAAACTTTGGACGTGATGCGCTTGCTTTAGATTTTACAAGAAATTTAAATTGGTTGCTTATAAAGTTGGGTTTTGCTTAGTTGAAACTTGCATCAAAAAAGTCCAAATTAGGGTCCGGTTCCTACCCCAATCAATTCCAGAGCTAAAAGAAAGGTTTGATGTAGCAATTCAAGCTTTGAATTACAGAAACAAAGTCAGCAGTTACCAGTGTTCCGTCAGTTACTTGTAGACTAGGAGGGTATTGTAAATAAAATAACCAAAATTAACTTTTGGTCTTCCTAATGCTACAAGGAAAAATTCAAATTGCTGCCAATTGAAACATGTCCTTTGGAACAGTACATAATCCACCCCTTGATTTTAATCCATTACAGTGCTTTCCAAAGAAACTAAAATGGATTCTCTATAAGTCCACAGTATCCAGTAATCAAACAAAACCCTTTACAACATTCTATGTCCGGTCATATATGACAGGCGGTAATTAATCCACAAGTCAACTTGTTGTGAGTTATTCTTGAATATTCAAAACAATTACTTGCAGAAATGAAATACGATTAAACATGAAAAAATCCCTCCAAGATCTTGTTGTGAATGTGCAATACAGATTCCAAGCACGGCATGGATCACAACTATGCAGTGTTAGATACCAGCTGCAATGCAATGTCTTGGTATGCCATCTAAATTTTTGACCTAGCAAGCACTCCTGTGCCAGTGTTTTACTACTAATTTTTTTTTTTTTTTTTGTCAATTAAAAGGGCCTGGCCCCACTTCAGGCCCCAACCCTTATTTGGGTTGTTGGGTTATTCCCCATTTTTGTTACAGGGTTCGAACTCTAATGGATGCTCTAACTAGAGACTACACCACCAGGTCGGCTACCTTGAAAGGGCTTTTACTACTAATTCATTTGTCAATTATTTGGTCAAGTTCTATTCTCAAGCTTGAAGATTTTTCCAGAAATTTTGAACTTAGAATTTTCGATAACCTTTGATCAAATGACTAGTGTTAGCTACTTACACACTCGTGTCTAAAGTCTTTGGCCAAATTATCGAAAATGTGTCATTAAATGTTTGTTCGAATTAACGTGAACGTCTTGACTTTGTTTCAACATAAGCATTAATCAGAAGCCTAATTTTCTTCATCTATATTTGGATTGACGCAATCATTCTCCTTTAATGTTGTGTTAGCGTTTGGTAACCTTCTGTATAAGTGTCATTAAATGTTTTGTTCTAATTGTGCCAAACTGTTAGAGGTGATACATGAAGCAATTATAGGTGACCTCTGATTCATTTTCGTTTGGATTGCTATTCTTAAGAGTTTTTAAAAAAAATATGTAATGATTTGATATATGTAAAATAAAAGGTTATTAAAAAATGTATTAATGAAAAACATAAAAAATTTTCTACAATTCAAACAAGGCATAGCTACAATCCGAAAATTACAATGACATTCAACCCTCCTTAATCTCATCTGCTTGTAGGATTAGTACATTATACATATTCTGATCGAAGATTTATGATCCTAGTTATCCATATAATATGGAGTTTAATATCCTGTTTTTCTTTTATTATATACTCATGATCATATGAATCTCTTATATATATTTATTTTGGACTACAAAATCTAATTTTCTATTCCTGTCTTCCCCAATAACTAGGATCAGTATGTTCATATTATTCTACAACCATAATTTTTCATTCTTAGTTAATTTTTATGTTTTTATATTTCGGGTGACTGGCTGATGAGGCTAGGAAGAGATTTTTTATTTTTGTTTAGTTTCTAAAGTGATCCAAGGGACCTCTGAAGTTTCACAATCCCGGTGAGTACTTTTCCCCTTACATAAATAAATCTTCACTCACCTCAAGTGCAGGGATATGGGTCAAACTAAAGGTGTGGGATAAGAAGTGTATAATAGAAAATCCAAAGCCAAAAGGCTAAACTAATGGAGATAAAATTTCTCAAAATGCCAGGATTGCCAAAGATTTAGTCAAATTTTTAGCATCGACATATTTAGTCCTCAATTATCTGGAAACGGATCTAAAATAGTCTAAATTGAAACTAGAGATCAAATCTAAACATGCCAATCATCTAAAATCCAAAGTCACATTACCTTGGAAAAAATCAAGAAATGGAAAATCAACTTCGTTTGCTACATATGCATTGTTCATATAACGAGGAAGTCTTGATCTAATGATTAAAATTGAAATCTCAAACATAATGGTTATAAATTCCAATCCCCTATTCTTCTCGGCGTCTTAAATGCCACCCCTTCCTTGTAAAAAAAAAAAAAAATGCGTTGTGCGTACTCGAGCCTACGTGAATATGCTTGTTACGTAATTTAGTTCACATAATAGCTCAAAATCGGGGAATGGTATAACA